TGATGCATCCCGGAGGAGTTCCAGGGGGGACGAGTTGTTACTGGTGAAGCAGCAGCCATTGCCCAGAAAGAAGCGATGCTTGTCCGGGTGTTTAGCAATTTTCATGCTCACAAGAGTGGCCTTGACAATGTGTTGTTCTAGTGTTGTTTATGCTCTGCTGGGAGCATGGCTGGTTGTCAGCAGGGCTGTTTTCCAGTTTCTCAGCCCATATATATACCACCCGATAAAAAACTGACATTTGAATTCATGTTCACCTTGGAAAGTGCCCTTTTTATCTACGAGGAAACTCCATGTGGCTCTTTCAGCTTCCCCATTCTTAAAGATGAGGAGATTGAGGTCAGGGATGGTTAGTGACTTTCCCAGCGCCACAACTAAGAAAGCAAGCCAGAAGCTAGCAGCTGGTTTTAAGTTTATATTTCTTTGTTGTCACATGGCACTGTTCCTCGTTAGTCCTAGTTTTGAAATTGTTTATCCCAGAATTTACATGGAGTACTTGATAAGTGCCTTGTGCTCTTCTAGGCTCTGGAGATACACTAGTGATGAGGCAGATACATCAAGCTTAGAGTCTGGCTTAGAGTTCGGTCTCTTCGGGCCTCCAGAGGCCCTGTGCACCCCTTGGCCAATGGTCCCTTCACCCATCTCCAAGCCCAGCAGTTGAATCATTCTGATTTCTGACTCTGTCATCACATCTCTGTCTGACTCTGCTGCTTTCTTCTCCGTTTTTTTAAAGACCCTTACTTTGGGCACAGCTGGGTAACTCAGGATAATGTCCTTGTGTTATAATCCTTAATTTAGCCATATCTGCAAAGTGTCCCTTTTGCCATTATTCATGGGTTTCAGGGATATCTTTGGAAGGGTCATTTTTCTGCCTTCTGTAGATACCTACCCTAATATTTATATATTCTTTTTTGGGGGGAGTAGGGGGGAAGAGCAGGAGGGATTCCAACTTTATAGAGAAAGTGGCATTTTTGCCGAAACCAGTTTGGCTCAGTGGTAGAGTGTCAGTCTGCGGACTGAAAGGTCCCAGGTTCGATTCCGGTCAAAGCATGTACCTGAGTGGCGGGCACATCCCCAGTAGGGGGTGTGCAAGAGGCAGCTGGTCGATGTTTCTCTCTCATCGACGTTTCTAGCTCTCTATATCTCTCCCTTCCTCTCTGTGAAAAATCAATAAAATATATATATATATATATTTTTAAAAGTGGCATTTAGCTGACACCAAGAGGGAACAGGAGCCAAGAAGGGAAGTGTCCTAAGCAGAGGAGACCAAAAAGTGATGGGAGAAGGCACAAGTTCATCGATTTGGAATTCTTTGTAACCTCAGTGGAAAATTACCTTCTCAGGTTTAGCCTGCCCTCACATCAACAAAACATATTCTGTACTATTTAGCATTTGCATGTGGAACAACTATAGTCTCTAGATTTATTCTGAAACATAGGCTTTTAAAGGTTTTCCCTAAACAAGGTGATGGGTGGCTCAGGGGCAGAAAGTGTTACTGAAGGGAAACGAAAGGGGATTTCAGATTCAAACTCTTTATGTTGACCCACAGGTCCCTACCAGATCGGCCCCCCATTGGCTCCCGTGCCTCCCCCATGGCCCTCACTGTTCCAGCCATGCTGGCCTCCTTGCTGCTCTGCTCCTGTCACACACCAAGCATGCCCCAGTTCAGATCCAGGTCTTGCACAACTGTCACCTCTGCCTTCCTCCCCATCACCTCTTTGTACCTTCACTTCATTTGATTTCATGGCACTTACACTCAGTGATGTGTCTATGGTCTGCCTTCCCTGTCTGAATGTAAGTTTCACCAGGGCAGGGACTTCTGTTGTTCACCACTCTATTCCCACGTCCTGGAAGGGCCAGCACACAGGTCCCCATAATCTGAATGACTTGGTAGTCTTGTTATGGCTTAAAATTATTTTACCACTTAAAAAAAAATTCACTTCAGAGAGAAGGGAAAGGGAGAGATAGCAACATCGATGATGAATCATTGATTATCTGCCTTCTGCATGCCTCCATGGGGGATTGAGCCTAAAACCATGGCATGTGCTCTGACCAGGAATCATACCGTGACCTCCTGGTTCATAGGTTGACACTCAACCACTGAGCCACACTGGCCGGGCACTTTTTTTGAGGCATCTTCTATAAATGAGGCTTCTGTATATAATACACTTGACACTCGAAGTGTTCTTACAAAAGGCAGTTTCGCTTACTGTGAGGCATTAGAGTCCGTGTCTGTGGAAGTGCAGACTCATTTACTCTGTGTTTACTCAGGAGTTTATAGAAATTAACGTGTTAGGAACAACCGCGAAGATTTCCTTCTGTCACTTCTTACAGCCTCATGTGCCTCAGGCCTTTAGTTCCTGACAGTCTTCTTTGGCTTTTCCAGGTCTTTCCTTCCAGTCCATCCGGATCAGGATGCCCCTACTGGCCTTTTCCAAGACAGCTGGCCTCTCGCCACGGGAGCTGCAGCAGATGAGGCACATTTGAGTAGTCCAGTGGTTTGCCCACAGGGCGAGATGGATGTAAGCCTTCCTAAGTCAAGGCCAGACTGCCCAGCCCAGCATCCTACTCCCCATCAACAGCACAGACAGGGTGAGCCTGGTTCCACACATTTTAACAAAGCCCCGGCTCCTCCTTGAAAGTTTTTGTTCCGTAGCAATAGAAATGGTGGGTTTTGGTAAGCACCAAGTCTGGAGAAAGGGACATTTTCTTATGACAACAAACTGGTTTTTACACTGACACATGCATACAGAGCAGTACAAGAGCTCTGCCAACATGTGTGTGTATGTGCACATACATAGGAGGTCCTTAAATGACCACATTGTGTTAGGAAGGAAAAAAATTCGGCCCTCACACAATCCTTTTAATTAGGCCAAAGGTTTTGTGTTCTCTGAGGGTAAGGGACAGCCCTTAAAAATCCCCCGAAGAGTCTGTTAGTGGTCAAGAATACCAAACCTGAAACTCATGAGAGATTTAAGGAATAATCTCGGAAGCACTTTGTCAAACTATTTCCAAAGCCAAGAATGTGTAAAAACTGAACAAAAGATTTAGAGCCATACCAACAAAAGCCAGGACACGCGGAGACGGGAAGTCTGGAATACACGATGATGGAGCATGTGCTGTTTTCCATTTCAAGTATGTAACCTGGTTTTAATCATTTTCCAGAAATGTTTCCAAATTAGAGGGAGGGGGGCAACCTTTAAAAGGTATTGACAAACCCCGCCTGGCTCACTGGTTGAGCATCGACCCATGAACCAGGTCACAATTCCATCCCTGGTGTGGAGCGTATAGGAAGCAGCCGATCAATGATTCTCTCTCATCTCTCTCTCCCTCTCCCTTCCTCTCTGAAATCAATTAAAAAAATATTTTTAAAGAAAAACATTGTTTAAAAATAAGATATTAACAAGAATAAACTTTTTACTCCGTGTAAGACCAGATCTGACTCTGCAGCTCAGACTCTTGACAGGCTAGCACCCTTGAGAACAGACCTGTTACAAATCCTACAGGTTTGTGAGTTGACACCCCAAGCGCCTTTTCCATTCATGCTAAGTGGAGAAAAAGCCCAAACACACCTAGAATGGCCTTTAAACATTTTCTGGTACATGCAGCAGTGCACCCAAACGCTTGAACAATTCTTAACTAAAGTCGCAGGTCAATGGACCTCACAGAGAGATCTCATTAAGAGCAGAAACTCCGGTCAGGTTTCTGGAGGGGCATCGGCAGGCGGCCTCAGACACCTCTGACTGGACGGACTCTCCCTCTCACAGCCCGAGCCTCACGCGGGGTGAGGCAAGGGGAGGTTACGGTTGTGGGGATGTGAGACGTGGCGTGTTATTTATGGATGGTTGTGTTTTTTCCATGTGAACTGTAAACTACTTTTGTCCCACCATGCATATTGATTACATTTGAAGAGAGCCCACGAGAGCCCAGGGGTCAGTAAAAGAACTGAGACGTGTAGAAAAGAAGTCAGAACAGACATTATACTGGACTTAAAGCAAAGGAAGTGTCTCTCTTCAAAGAATAACTCTGTTCTGTCTCTGCACTGGAGTGTTTTAAAAATGCAAAGGTTGCTGAAAGATTCGATTCCTAATTGCACAAGCAGGGGCTGCGATGTCCTGAGGCAGAGGCTGGAGGTGTAGGCTGAGGAAGGAAACAAGGGCGGAGGGGGGCGATGAATGACAGAGTGGAAGGAATTGGGTGCAGGGGTCGGGGAGGGGAAACCCCACACTGGGGAAGGGGCAGCCCACTGAGAACCAACCGTGAGTGATGCCAGCTGCTGCCATTGCCTCTGTCATCTGGCCATCTGGAAAGGTCTGGTTTAATGGGAATAAAAAAAACTATTATTTTTAAAAAGATAAATGCATAGTATATTTTATAAGAAGATTTCTTTCTACCAATCAGGCCTTTAACATGTCAGAAGTAAATTTGCAAAGTTTGCCCTGGCCAGCGTGGTTCAGTGGTTGGAGTGTTGGCCTGTGCCCTAGAGGGTCTCAGGTTCGATTTCCAGTCAAGGGCACGTACCTGGGTTGCAGAGTTTTTTTATTTATTTATTTTATTTTTTATTTTATTGATTTTGTACAGAGAGGAAGGGAGAGAGATAGTTAGAAACATCAATGAGAGAGAGTCATCGATCAGCTGCCTCTTGCACACCCCCTACTGGGGATATGCCCGCAACCAAGGTACATGCCCTTGACCGGAATCGAACCCAGGACCCTTCAGTCCCCAAGCCGACGCTCTATCCATTGAGCCAAACCGGTTTCGGCTGGGTTGCAGGTTTGATCCTTGCCTGGCACCCCTCCCCGAGACTGGGATGCATGCAGGAGGCAACCAATTGATGTATCTCCCTCACATTGATGTTTTGTTCTCCTGTCTCCCTGCCCCTCCCTTATATTCTCTCTAAAAAATAATGGAAACTATATACTCACTCCTTGGGTGAGGCATACCAAAAGGGAAAAAAGTGTATTTGTAAAGTTAAATACAGAAAAATACAAAAGCAGACTGAATTATCAAAAAGAAAACCTTTATTTATGTCACTAAATACAATTAGCTTCCCTGATTACAACCCATAATGAGTATCAGTAAAATACAGGCTGGTCTGTAGAGGTGAACCTCCCAGCATCTGTGTGTACATATATACACGGAGCCACCCATCTCAGAAAAAGCAGAGCTGAGCTTGTTAAATTATCGTCTGTTTTAGAAACTCTTACCATTTGACGGAAATTAGAGGAAGATTTAGGTAGCAGAGTACTTGTATAATAACTTAAAAAGTTAAAAGCTTGTAGTGATAAAACAATCTTGGGCGCCCTCTTGAGGAATTTGAAGCAGTTGACCTTTTACAGATCCAATGTCTGGAAACAGACAACCAGTCATTGAAACAACTAGGTCCAGTTCAATTGCCATGGGGCTGGTCATGGTGCATTTCCGGTGTGTAAGTCAACAGAACAATCATGACCCAGAGGTGGAGCAGAGCCTAAGGAAGAAAAGATAATTTGTGGATTAGTCAAGGATCCCACCTTCACCACAGGCCCAGGGTGAGGCGCATGGAGGGCAGGGACGTCTTAGTTGTCTGTGTACTGTGTTCCTGTCCGCCACTGTGTGTGCAACACTCCAGGGGCTCCGTACGTGTTTACTGGGGACTAATGAAGAAATAGATGTACAACCGATGGAGGGCAATAGTTACAATTCCGGCACATTGCTCAGTCGAATGGAGAAAAGTCCTCAACTCATTCATGATAAGCACATGTACCCAAAACAATTAATGGCTAGAGAGCCACGAAGTGGCCGGAGAGGCTTTTTAAGAGCAGTCAGAGCTGGCTTTCTGCAAGAGGGCTCAGCCATGCTCGACAGGAACGCTGTGCCGGGTTCCAGAGGTGACCTGGGGTCCAGCACAGGACCGCCACCGACAGTCCCACTGCTCCCGCGTGGTCAGGGACAACAGCACGAGGTTCCATCGCCCAGGCATCGCTGGGTGAGGCACCACGTCTCAGGCTGACAGAGTCCGTGTTCCTCAAAACCTCCACCCGGAAATCAGCCCAGATGTGGACATATTCTGAACCCTTTCTGAGGCCAATCTTTCCCCTCTCATTCGCTCCATCCCCCTCTTCCTAAAAACTTTTTAAAAATATATTTTATTGATTTTTTTTACAGAGAGAAAGGGACAAGGATAGAGAGTTAGAAACATCGATGAGAGAGAAACATCGATCAGCTGCCTCCTGCACACTCCCCACCAGGTATATGCCCGAAACCAAGATACATGCCCTTGACCGGAATCGAACCTGGGACCCTTGAGTCTGCAGGCCGACACTCTATCCATTGAGCAAAACCTGTTAGGGCTTCTTAAAAACTTCTTATTTTTTAAGTAACTCTTCCCTCTAGTGGATCAAAAAGAAATTTCTTTCTCAGGGTGCTTTCATTCCTTTAGAAGAAAAAATTGCCTGTTTTAATTCAACTCAACTACTTTTAGCATCCCCATTCAGAACGGTGAGTTTTTTAGGCTCACAGGACACGTGAAATGGCATGCCTGACTCTGGTAACCATTATTAGAGCTAAACAATATGAAAGAAAATAAATCATCCTTGAGACTGTTTTAGAAAACAAAACACATGGGAAGCAACTTTACATCAAGATAAGAAATCAATTGTTTTGTATTGTATTTTTTATCTTAAGAGGGGCTTTAGCAATGGAGGTAACTGTTAAACTGCACTGAAGTTAATTGTAGGACAAGTCTTTGAACAATTTACATTTTAGAAATAACAAATTGTTATCTTCACTTGCATTACTAAAAATGAATTCTCTTTCAAAACTGATTGCTAAACTTTTAGTCAAAAAGACCAGCAGCTGCCTGGCTGGTATACTCAGTGGTTGAGCCTCAGGAGGTTATGGTTTGATTCCTGGTGAGGGAATATGCCTGGGCTGCAGGCTCGATCCCCAGTAGGGAGCATGCAGGAGACAGCTAGTCATCATCATCATTGATGTTTCTGTCTCTCTCTCCCCCTCTCCCTTCCTCTCTGAAGTCAATAAAAACATTTTTTTTAAAAAAGAACAGCAGCTGAAAAAATCAAGTGCAGCATTGCTTTTTTATTTTTTATTTTATTTTTTAAAATATATTTTATTGACTTTTCACAGAGAGGAAGAGAGAGGGATAGAGAGTTAGAAACATCAATGAGAGAGAATCATTGATCAGCTGCCTCTTGCAACCCCCCTCCCCTCCACTGGGGATGTGCCCACAACCAAGGTACATGCTCTTGACTGGAATTGAACCCGGGACCTTTCAATCTGCAGGCCGACGCTCTATCCACTGAGCCAAACCGGTCCCGGCAAAATTGTTTTTTTAAACAAGTTCACTTACCATATATATAATTACAAAAACTCGTGCTATGGGGTATCTTCGGAGAAAAATTCCCAGGCGGATACTATGTAAATGGTGGTGGGGTGGAGAGAAGAAAAGAGAGTTAGACTGACAATAGATCTACCTGTAGTAATATCTAATAATGCTTTTTAACATTCCACTCATTTATACTAGTTCTGTGGCCACCATAAAGATTTATTTATAGTAGATTAAATTGTTATTTGAAATAATCATATAGAAATGCCTTAGTGCAAGCAAATACTACTTGGGTTTAGCTGTTAAACAACTTGGTCCCTCTCTAAATCATTTTTCTTTTAGGAACTAAGTAAGTTATAAAACATAAGGCAAACGTGAAAACAAGAATAGGAAAGTCTAGTTCGAATCAATCTGCAAATTACTAATCAGAAAGCTTTTGTATTGATACCTGCTTCCCAACGACACAAAAGTACAGAAACTCAAGTAAACACTTAAACAAACGAAGTGTGAGGAGCAATCTGATGTCCAGAACTTGCCACTCATGCCTTTTTACATTTCCCCCTACATGACGGACACAGGAACAAGCAAATACACCTTCTCTGCCTTTCCGTTTCTTTGCCACTAGCACAATGCCTTGCATACTGGTTCTCTAAAAGTCATGTAGACTGAATAAAGTTGAAATAGATGTGCATATTAATTTGGAAATGACTATGGCATCCTTGGTCCATGGCTTTGGGAATCTTAGTAAATCCTCCTCCTAATATGTAACACCACAGCTATATTCTGATACATAAAGGTAAGAAAAGATTGCTCTTTTATGCAATAGTTCATTGAAACTGTGATTAATTATAAACACTAAAAGACAAAAGAGTTTAATGCTATATATAAACTATTAAAACATTTTTTCCTTAAAAGATAATAAAAGATTATTAATCTTTTATTATTATACTACTTAGCAGTGAAATTATTTATGGTTAGCACATGTATGAAAATGATAACGGGGTGGTTTAGATTAAATATGCAGGAGTCGTCCCTGAGCCTCAATGAATGTTTGGTGGTTTCTTCCAGCAAGTCTTTTGCTTCATTTGTTCTGACTGCTAAGTATGGAGCTCCACCTTTATCTGGGTGATTCTAATCTCGGCCTTGCCAGCAGATGGGTTTACATCCAAAATAAGAATAGCTTCTCGCCTACTCATTTTCTGTTCAAATCCTCCTTTATGGTAGGATGGAAGGGTAGGTGTGAAATCTTCTGTGATTACTTATTCTACAGGTTTCCAGACCTGAAATGCACAGTGACCTGCAAAAGCTGGACTCCCAGTCCTACAGCATCAAGCTTTTTGCATCTTTGGTCGATCTCCATGTCCATCCACCCATTTGGTCAAGGGAGGTGAGTACTCAGTGTAACATCAGCACTCGCCAAGGGCAGCCACAGCACTGCGGCAGAGGGAGACCTAAAACCTTTCTTTGACAATTATTTAAGAACTTTATTAACAGGTGCTTGCAGTCTGTTGACTTAAAAAAAAAAAAAAATCAAGTTGTAAACTTTTTTTACAAATTAAAAATGAGTTTCTTAAAAAATCTCAACTTGCCAGATATGTAACAATTTAAAAACCTCTAAAGGTGTATTAAGAAAAGCTAGGCTTTTTTTTAAAACGTGTTTGTCATTACCAAAAAAGAGACAACTTTAGGTAAAAATAATAAAACCCCCATGCTGCATAGCTGGTCACGAGCAAAAAGCAAATACTTAAGGTCTTCAGCTCCCATCTTTTCTGTTGTTGTTATTAATCTGACGTGAGGCTATTTTTCCATTGCTTTTCAGAGTGAAAGGGAGATATATATGTGTGTGCGTGCATGCCCCAGGGGCAGTAAGCAAACCCACAGCCCAGGACGTGCCCTTGACTGGGAATCAAGCCCAATACCCTCAGGTGCATGGGCTGACGCTCTAACCACTTAGGACACTGGCCAGACTTGGTCATTTAACACTGCTACAATTTTATATCCATTTCTTCTTGTTGGATGACTAAACTGGATAGTAGAGATAATAAGCTGGCGTTTACTCAGCCCTGCTCTGCTCAGCTTTGGGAGCAGATGAATTCTCAGCTGGTGGACCAGCTGCTTTAGTCTCAGTGCCATCTTGTGCTTGGGGTTTTCCAGGCATCTGCACAAGTTACAGCGGTACTGATGTGGAGGTAGCTGTTGACCTTGGGTCTCTGGTAATCCTGCCGGCAGTTGTGTACAGGGCACTCTGACATGGACAGCACCTACATGCTTGTGGACTGCTGCACATTTACTGCCTTGCACTAACTCCACAGCAGCCTGTAACATTTGCTGCCTCCACATCGAATGGAGCATCATTTAACTACCTCAAACCCCACAGCCTCTCCTTCTCCTACACTGTGAGGGTACTTCCTGGGGTTCTTCTTTATGGCCATCTGGTGTACAAACACATCTTCTTTGGGGTCATTCCTGTTGATTAAACCATATCTGTCTCTTACACTGAACCATTTTACTGTTTCCAAAATCTTCATTGCAATGATTTTGTCTCTGCTGGCAGGTGCCCAGGATATGAGGCTACCTGGGCTGGCATGCCCTATGCCACTGCCCGTAGTGCCAGGCTGGGTGTTGACAGTTCCGAGGGCGGGGGTGGCGGGCCTCGCTGCTGACGGTTGGGGTGATGGTGACTGGGGCTGTCTGCAGGAGTCAGACAGGATGTGATGGTAACTAGGCCGGAGCGATGGCAGTGGTGCTGCTCGAAGCTCTCTAGGGTTCCCCGATAGAGACTAAAACATTTTCTATATAAGGTAGATGTCTGCTAGTATAAAAAGTTTATTTATAAGTATATACATAACATAAATTATGTATTATTTATGTAATATATAAAAACATATTGCAATGAGTACTGTTCGTTTGTAGCATCTTTTGTTCTAATCACATGACAAAGTATTGAGATAAAGCATTCAAATGGATGCATTTACATGCGATAGAGACTTTCTCAATGAAATTTAATGAGTTTTAAATAGAGTTTATTACAGAAAGAAGAGAAATGGTCAGGATTAATCATCTTCAGTAAGTATAGACACTGGCAGATCTCTTAAAGCAATTTCATGACACTGAAATACCATGAAAGGAATAGGTAAATGTCACTTTAAATATCATCTCTATCTGATGGGACTCACAATGATGGAAACCACTAGAAAAGGTTATATAAATATTTTATGGTCCATCACTCATCGTTACTGGCAGAACTTACCTAAATTGGTCAATTGAACTAGCAGCTTTGCGGACTCTTCCATACATTCCTGCCAGACTGGTGTCTGTGTCATTAAAAAGAACAGGAACATTTCGTAGACGTGCCCCTGTTTAAACAAGAGAATAATGAATGGAGGTACAGACAGCAAAGATAAATTTTTTAACAAAATTACAGTTGATTACACATTAAATTACTTATGAAAGAAATTCTCAAGGCCAACTTTCTAAGTATTACATCAGAGATAAAATCATTTAAAAAAAACAGGTAAATTTGATTATATGAAATGTTTGAACTTTCATGCCCAAAAAATCAAAATGTAAAAACTAAAAAAATTATTTCTCTACGAAATTAGCAAAATTTAAAGTTTATAAATACCAAGTGTTGTTAATAGTCAATATTAATGGACACAACTCCTGTGCTAGTAAGAATGGCCTTTCTACAAAGCCAACTCCCACATTTTATCTCCAGCCCAGACCACTCCCAACTCTAGACTTGTCCAATCACCTGTTCCATTTCCATCTGGATACCTCAGTCATCTCAGACTCAGCATGCCAAGACCATGCTACTGACTTCCTGCCTCTGATGCCAACCCACTCGTCCTGCAGTTCTCCCCATCTCAGACATGAGAACTCCATCCTTCCAGCTGCTCAGGCCCCCAATCCTGACTCCTTTCTTCCTGTCACACTTCACAATCTGCTAGCAAATCCTGTCAGCTCACCTTTAAAATGAACCCTCACAATCCCCACTCTGTCCTGAACCACCCCCATCTCTCACATGGATTAATACAACAGCTCCTCCTGGTCCCCTGCCTCCACTCCTAGTTCTTTGTAGTCTAATATGGACACAGCAGCCAGAGGTATCGTGTTAAAATACAGGCTACATCAGCCACCCTTCTCAAGACCCTCCAATGGCTTTCCCTTCCTTCAGAGTCATCCTACAGTCTAAACAGCCTCCTCCAAGTTCTCTGAATTCACCTTACTCTCCGCTCCCCTACTCCTGCGGCCCTGAACTCCATGCTGTTCCCGCAACATTCCCGCCTCAGGGCCTTTGCAGCTCCTGCTCTTCTCCCTGCCTCACTGTCTACTATCTTACTTCCTAGCTTTTCAATGAGGTCTCCCCTGACCACCCTAAAGTGCAATCCCATCTCCACAGCTGGCACCCCATGTCTCCCTTCCTCGGCAGCACACATCACCACCTCACATCATCCATTTACTGCTGTGTCCTCCCCCTGCATTCCTCTCCACGCCACCAGGATGGAAGATCCATAGGGCAGAGATTTTGGTCTCTTTTGTGGCCCAATGTCTAGGATAGTACCTGGTACAAAGCACTTGTAATTATTTGCTGATTCTGCCACCCAAAATAAAAAAGCCTTCAAATGTGTATACCTATTGACCCAGCAATTCCATTTCTTTTTTTTTTTTTTAATATATTTTATTGATTTTGTACAGAGAGGAAGGGAAAGAGATAGAGAGCTAGAAACATTGATGAGAGAGAGAGTCATCGACCAGCTGCCTCCTGCACACCCCCCACTGGGGATGTGCCCGCAACCAAGGCACATGCTCTTGACCGGAATCGAACCCAGGACCTTTCAGTCCCCAAGCCGACGCTCTATCCATTGAGCCAAACCAGTCTTGCCAGCAATTCCATTTCTAATCATTAATCCCAAGAAAATAAAAGAGACGTTCAGAAAATATTTTCCTCAGAACTACTATATTAGCAACAATCTAAATTCCCAACCATAAGGAGAACTGATCAAACAAATTACAGTATTTACACAATAGATTTCTATAAAGTAATATATAAACTATTGTATAAACTATATTATGAAACTTATTAATATGAAAAAAGTTAAAAGTCAATAAAACAGATAATATAAACACATATAGGGAAAAAGTCTAAAAGGACTTTCTAGGATTAAGGCTGTTGAAGCTTACACTAAAATCTTTAACAACCCCCCCCTTTTAAAAAATATATTTTATTGATTTTTTAAAATATATTTTATTGATTTTGTACAGAGAGGAAGGGAGAGAGATAGAGAGTTAGAAACATCAATGAGAGTCAGTCATCGATCAGCTGCCTCTTGCACACCCCCTACTGGGGATATGCCCACAACCAAGGTACATGCCCTTGACCGGAATCGAACCCGGGACCTTTCAGTTCCCAAGCTGACGCTCTATCCATTGAGCCAAACCGGTTTCGGCTCCTTCCCCCTTTTTTAAAGTCCTCACTCGAGGATATGGTGATTTCACTGGTGATTCCTTTTTTTTTTTGAGAGAGAGAATCATGCATCAGTTGCCTCCTATACATGCCACAACCAAGGATCAAACCCTGGCAGGGAATGGAATCCTCCATCTTATATGAGATGACACTCCAACCAACTGAGCCACTCTGGCCAGGGCTTTAATGTCCTTTTTGAATATGTATTTTGGGAGTACAGATTCTCTATTAAAATATGACTACTAGAGGCCCGGTGCACAGATTCACTCACTGGTGAGGTCCCTCGGCCTGACCTGCGCCCACTTGCAATCTGGGACCCATCGGAGGATGTCGGATAGCCTGTTTTGACCCGATCCCCACAGGCCCAATCCAGACAGGAGAGAGCCCCATTCTGTGCATTGAGCATCTGTCCCCTGGTGGTCAGTGCGTATCATAGTGACCGGTGGACCTGTCATTCTGTTGTTAGGTTGTTCAGCTGCTTAGGTTTTTATATATATAGATGTATCAGCTTTAATATTCATAATTATAGCCCTAGTCAGTTTGGCTCAGTGGATAGAGCATTGGCCTGCGGACTGAAGGATCCTGGGTTCGATTTCAGTCAAGGGCACATGCCCAGGCTGCAGACTCAACAATCCTCAATGGGAAGTGTACAGGAGAGAATCAACAATTCTCTCTCATCATTGATGTTTCTATCTTTCTCTCCCTTCCTCTCTGAAATCAATAAAAATACATAAAAAAAGAAAAATAGGGGTTCTTCAACCTATTGCTCATAAAAATTAAAAAATATGTATTCATAATTATGGATTGGAAGATTATTAAAGCAAATTTTGCTTTAACATTCCTGAAAGTCCCTCTGTATTGAATCATTTGCGTTGTCTGTAACATCCTACTGAGCATCCTATGTATTTCAATATGACTATGGATCCTTGGGCCTCTTTCCTCCAAGTCCCACACTAGTGAGGGATATTAATCAGTCCACAGTCCAATTTATTAATGATCATATCCAACAGCACATGGCCCATCTTCACATAAGAAGAAAAGTGGGTGCTTTGTTGGATGAAACCTCTTTCTTAATAAAAATGATATTCTTTTAACTTATCAAAATCATGTTTGAATTAGCAACATTAGAAATTAAGGCAACAAAACATTTTTGTTTTTAATCCTCAACTGAGGATATTTTTCCATTGATTTTCAGGAAGAGTGGAAGAGAGAGGGAGAGACAGAGAGAAACATCAATGTGAGAGAAACACATCGATTGGTTGTCTGTCCCATGCACCCCAACCAGAGCCCAGGCCGGGGAGGAGCCTGCAATCAAGGTCCATGCCCTTGACTGGAACTGAATGGCTGCTCTTTTTTTACCTTCGCCATTGTCAACTCCAGACATATTGATGGCAGAGGCAGTGCTCCCAGCTCCAGTGGCCGATTTCATCTGCTGCTCGAGGCGCTCCAGCTGGAAGACCAGCGAGTTCTTCTCGGTGCTGAGGCTCTCCAGCATGGTCTGCTTCTGGATGAGAGTCTCTGTCAGCTGATGGAGTCGACTCTCCAACTCGGACTGGCTGCTATTGCTCAGGGTTTTATTGGTAAGCTGAAAGGCAACAGTTCATAAAAGCATTACATAAAACCAGGCATACAACACAGAAACCACACTGCCAAATCCCCACAGGTGAACTATAGTGTTCACTGATTTCTCAAAACTCTGTAATGGTTCTTTCATTGACTACAGAAGCAATTTTCAAACTTATTAGGGAGCCACAAAATCAACTTGGTGGTTCAATCAACGCCTTAAAAGGTAGAACAGAATGGACGTATCAGAGCGTACAGCACATAGTATGTGAGAGTATTATCTTATGAAACTTCTGTATCAGTTTTGTACATTGTAAGAATGTGTGAATACTGAGACATGATATAAACCTTACTTCTTACTGTAACATCACGGTCAAAAATATCTGAAAGCATGCCGGGACCGGTTTGGCTCAGTGGATAGAGCGTCGGCCTGTGGACTGAAGGGTCCCGGGTTCGATTCCGGTCAGGGGCATGTACCTTGGTTGCGGGCACATCCCCAGTGGGGGTATGTAAGAGGCAGCTGGTCGATATTTCTCTCTCATCGACGTTTCTAACTCTCTGTCCCTCTCAATTCCTCTCTGTGTAAAATCAATAAAATATATATTAAAAAAATATATATCTGAAAGCACTGATCCCATGAGACATAGTTGAAACATTTCAACCTGGATAACTCAATGGTTGTGCAAAGACCACTCACTTCTGGTGGTTTTCATCCCCGCTCTGCAATTTCCTTGCTATCTGACTTGAACAAACTGCTACACTTCTCTGAATCTGTTTCCTCAAGTGAGGACGAATGTGCTTGTTGTCTGTCTCCTTGTGTGTTAACTGAAGATAACAGTGACTGTTGCACATGGTGTTTAAGGATATTAAATGAGAATTTTCCTAGCAGGGTCTGGCTGACAGTTCTTAGTAACTTCCTTCATTGCATCTTCTATTTATTCTCATGTGTCACCAATTCCCTCCTCCACTCAGCTGTCCACATTTCCTGCTTGGAAAATTCAGTCCCCTTCTCTTATCTAGGCTCTACCTGCCTTCAAAGTCTCTTCCTTGAAGCCTTTTCCAACAAGTCTAGCCCAAGCTGACTTCAGCCTTCTTTTAGACTCCCGCAGACTGCCATAGCATTAATCAATCACTTTGGTAACACTGTTTAAAAGAGTCCATTACTTATTAAGTCAATCGCCTGAAGAGAAGGGAGGAAAGGACAATCTATAACTACAGAGTAAGTGAATGCATGATTTTGGCAGTTAGTGATCAAGACTGGTAAATCTGGGTGCTAGGCACAGACTGTTTTCCTTGTGTTTCTCATTTTAAGAGTTACAAAGAGGTCTTGCTGACTTCATGGAAGACCTATCAATTGCTAACAGAAAGATTTATCCTTGGATTTCTCTTAAGAAAGAGAAAACATACTTATGAAACTGGCAATCAGCACAATCCCCACTGAAGTTAAGAAAGTGTTGAGATAATTCACATCTCCTCAAGTGACTCTGGCTATAAGACCTATAATAATAAAAGTGTAATATGCTAATTAGACCGGACAGCCAGACCTCCTTCCGGACAACCTTCCAGAAGTCGTCAGGCTGCTAGGGCTGAGGGCAGTCTCTGTGGCTGCGAGGGCTGAGCCCCTTTGCACAAATTTCATGCATTGGGCCTCCAGTACTTCTATAAGAAGCAAGCCACAGAATGCAGCAAGTGCAGACTCACAGGCATTAGATGGAAAGTCTATATCAGGTTGAAAATAACATTGTACCACTGCAACAAGAAAACTCAGATAAAAATATGGAAAAGATCTTACTGTATTCTCTGGAAAAAATGTGCCTTTACAATGAATGGTACCTTTGCCCAAGTTGTAAATGACACATACCTGATTCCTAAGTTTCTGAATTTCTTCTTCTCGATCTTTAATTCTGCTTTGCAATGTATTCTTTGTTCGATAAAGATCTTCTTCTATATAATGGAATTCCTACAAAGTGAGGCACAAAATAAAAGTTAAAACAGCGTACCCTATTCCATCGCCAGAACCTAAAACAGTGCCTGACATATAGTAGACACTCAATATGTGCTGAGTATATACTGAATGAGTAAATGAACATATTAGGATGGGTCTAATGAAAAGTTATACTTCAGCATCATGTATCAATCTGTATATGCACGTTTAAGCACAAGTCTTTACGTGGTCTTTGTTTTAGATTTTTCTAGAACTGCTACTGGATCATATGATAAGTGTATGTCTAATTTAAAGGAAAAAAAACCTGCCAATTGTTTTCTGAATTGTTTTCCAAATACCTGTACCAGTTTGCATTCCAACAGCAATATGAGAGCGTGCCAGTTGTTCCACATCCTTCCCACATTTGGTGGTGTCAGTCTCTCTAAGTGTAGCTAATCTGGTTGGGTATGTGGTGCTAGCTCATTGAGGTTTCACTTTGCATTTCCCTAAAGATTAATGATGTTGAGCAGCTTATTCACATGCTTATTTGTGAATAAACTGCTCAACCCCATTAATCATAAGGAAATGCAAAGGCAATATCTTGTACCTTTTTTGCACTGTCATTAATAAAAGAGGGAGAAAGAAACAAAGAAATACCTCTGGGTTCACTATCAACTGCATTAAACCACTGCTAGTCTGTATAATAAATATGATCATTCAGAGTCAAGTCAGAATTTAAGAACAAAACACATTCCAGGAAAGAAAAAGTAATTAGTTAGCTAAATACCTTCAAAAGCATTATGTAGCATAGGGAATATAGTCAATTATATTGTTAATAACTTTGCATGGTGACAGATGGTAACATCCTGGGGATCCTTTTGCAATGTATATAAATATCAAATCACTATAATGTACACCTAAAACTAATGGTATATTGTATGTCAATTTAAAAATGCATTATGCTTCACTGAGCTGGGAGCTTCATATAGCTCCTTCAGTAAAGAGAGCTGAATGAAGACATACATGTGAGATGGACTAAACTGCCAAAGACTGCTTTAGACATTTAGTTCAACCTGCTCATTTCACAGACTGTGAAAACTGAGATAAGTGAAAAAAAGTTAAAACAGCCCTAGCTAGTTTGGCTCAGTGAATGATACTGGGTTCGATTTCTGTCAAGGGCACATGCCTGAGTTGTGGGCTCAATCCCCAGTAGCGGATGAGAGCAGAAGGCAGCCAATCGGTGATTCTCTCTCATCATTGATGTTTCAATCTCTCTCTTCCTCTCCCTTCCTCTCTGAAATCAATAAAAATATATTTTTTTTAAAAAGAGAGACTAAGCCTAACCAATGGACACAGACAACAGAGGGGGGAGGGAATGTGTGTGTGTGTGTGTGTGTGTGTGTGTGTGTGTTTGGGGGGGGGAATAGGAAGGGTAATGGGGAATAAGGACAAATATGTAACACCTTAATCAATAAAGAAATTTTAAAAAGAGAGAGAAAATGAGGAAGGTAATTAGGGTAGGAGAATAACAATTTACAGGTATGCCTTATTTCTAAAGTTCTAAGCTAGCACAAAATTTAAGTTTGAAATGATCTAAAACTGATAAAGAGCACTACAGGACATTTAACCCTAAAATTAAGTACTTCACATCAGAACATCTGATTACTAAATAAACAGCCATAGCTATATTCAGCTCCACTTTCTTCTACTTACCTCCCTCATTTTATAAAAGGGCACTGGAAATGAATGTGGTTGAAACCATGTGCCATAATAAAATGAAAATTATCTCACTAATCATCAAGAACATAAAATTTTTGCCTTTAAATATATATTAGATCCTTAAATAAATTAAAATGCAATTTCTGAAAGAATAGCTAATCTTGTAATTAAATTAAGATAGCCCATGATGTACTCTGTAGGTTGCTACTCAGTTTTTCGCTTAAAAACAGATTTAAGTGCTACTTTCAAAATAAAAACAAATATATCTCTGAGAATTGAACCACTTCTAATCCTAATGAAAGAATCAATCCTAATGAAAAAAAAATCGGCCAGGCTAGAATGGCTCATTTGATTGATTGCCATCATGTGCGCCAAAAGGTTGCCAGTTCAGTTCCCAGTCAGGGCACATACCTGGGCTGCGGTTTTGATCCCCAATTAGGGCATTTATACATGGCAACCAATCAATGTTTCTTTCTCACATTGATGCTTTTCTCCCTCCCTGCCTCCCTCCCTTGGGTGATTAAAAAAAAAAAAAAATCTTTAAAGGACATAAATATGCAAAACTGGAATAATTTTATCTTCTATAAAATAAACACAATAGTGATTTTATTATGTGAAATGAACTAAGATGATGTAAATTAAGTGCCTATAACAATGTCACTGCTCAGTAAATTATAGATGTTACTAGTGGCCTGGTGCACAAAATTCATACATGAGAGGGGCCGTTCCTCAGCCCGGCCTGCACCCTCTCCAATCTGGGACCCCTTGGGGGATGTCTGACTGCCTTGGATGATGTCCCTGGGGTTGGGCCTAAACCAGCAGTTGGACATCCTTCTTGCAATCCAGGACTGCTGGCTCCTAACCGCTCACTTGCCTACCTGCCTGCCTGGTCACACCTAACCACTCTGCCTGCCAGCCTGCTCACCCCCAACTGCCCCCTCACCAGCCTTCTCATCGCCAAGTGCCCGCTCCCCCCATCAGCCTGATCACCCCCAACTGCACTCCTCTGCTGGCCTGATTGCCCCCAACTGCCCCTTCCATTGGCCTGATCACGCCTGCTTACTGCCTACTGCCCCCCGCCGGCCTGCTCACCCCTGGCTGCCCCCCATCCCAGCATGCTTGCCCCAAACTGCCCCTCCCATTGGCCTGATCACGCCCAACTGTCCCTCACTGCCAGCCTGCTAACCCCCGATTGGCCCCCCCTGATGGCCTACTTGCCCCCTACTGCCCCTCTTGCCAGCCTGCTAGCCCCCAACTTCCCCCATCACCGGCCTGATCACCCAACTGCCCTCCCCTCCTAACCTGAACACCCTAACCGTCTCTACCTCAGCCCTGCCACTATGGCTTTGTCTGGGCAGTGGCCATGGAGCCGGCTGGGGTGACCAAGGAAGCCAAGCTTCCCACCCTCTCCAGCCGGTGCCACCATCTTTGTTGCATCAATCTGCATATTCCCTCCTTATTGGCTGTGGGCACAGCCATCTTTATTGTGAAGTGATGGTTAATTGGCATATCACTCTTTTATTAGATAGAATTAATATTAGATATAGAATCTTATTCTGAAAATGTGGCTACAAACTTGTTTAACTGTATTAATATGAAACCTAGAGGCCGGGTGCACGAATTCGTGCACAGGTTGGGCCAGGCCGGCTGAGGGGGAGGGCTATGGGCAGTTGCCAGCCAACCCCAACCCCTGGTCAAACTCCCAGTTGAACTCCTAGTCAAACTCCCGGTTAAGGGGACAATTTGCATTTTAGCCTTTTATTTATAGGAGCAGGACATTCAAGTAAAATATACTTGGGGAGCAGACAACTGCTAATTGAACAATGAAAGAGAATCTAAACCATGATTTGTAAATATAATCTATATAAGAACTTTTTCTCAATCAGAAAAAGTAATCTAATATGGTACTAATGTTATATCTTTATTAACTAGCAATTACAGTTGTGTCTAGAAAGTACAAATGGAGTAAAGTACAAAAATCAACTGATTTTTTAAAAAAGTTTTCTATAGGTATATACTCTGACAAACAAATATAAAAAAATACAGAGTAATAGTAAAAAAAACTCTGGGACAAGAATCATGGATTCTATTCTATTCTGTAATTAGTTGTGTGAAATTAGGCAAGTCTCATAACAATTTTGTGCCTCTATTTTTCAGCTGTTAAAACAAATGAGTGTAGGACAGCAGTGGCAGTCAGGCCTGTCTACCACTAGTTCTCTTAGCATATCCCCTAAAAATGTCAGGAAGCTGCTTTACTGGGATGTGCCCTCGTGTGACAGCTGGGAGACAGTCTTCTCTGATAATCAATCTATAATCCTTACCTGCTTCTGTCGGTCCAATTCCGCCTCAAGTTCTTGTTTAGATGCTTTATGTCCAGCTATTTGGTCTTGCAGATCTTGCAACTGTTCTCTTGTTGATTCTGCTTCACTGACCTGCTGAGCCTCCATATCCTAAAAAGATGAGTTTTATACGTGAAAGCAATTAACTGTCCAGTCCAATATGTACTGAGCAATTATCACGCACCATGAACTGGAGTCAGCAGGCATGGGAGGGACAAAGATGAAAGAGACGGTATCAGCCTAAAAGGAGCACATAAACTGACACTTCATTATATAATACCAGAGGCTCAGTGCACAAAATTCATGTATGGGGGGTGGGGGGAAGCGAGGGGCGGGGGGATTAGAGGGGGTCCTAAGTCTGGGGGGCGTGGGGGGCGGGGGGATTAGAGGGGGCCCTAAGCCTGGCCTGCATCCTCTCTGACCCAGGACCCCTTGGGGGATGTCTGACTGCTGGTTTAGGGATCAGGCCTAAACCAGCAGTCAGACATCCCTCTCGAATCCAAGACTCCTGGATCCTAACTGCTCCCCTGCCGGTCTGGATCACCCCTAACTGCTCTCCCCTGCTGGCCTGATTGCCCCTTAACTGCTCTTCCCTGCCAGCTTAATCACCCCCTAACTGCTCCCCTGCCAGTGTGATCGCTCCTAACCACCTCTGTCTCGGCCCCTGCCACCGTGACTTTGTCTGGAAGGATGTCCAGTCTTATTAGCATATTACCCTTTTATTAGTATAGATGGCAAATGGTGAGAGCAATGAACAGGATAGCATAGCTGCCATATTTAGGTCTAGTAATAATTAATGTTGTTTTCTAATACTTTTTTAAATCGAATTTATTTAAACAATACAACAAAATTTAATCAACAATATAGTTGCCGTTGTTTTCTACTACTTGTGCCCAACGCTCAGGAAGCATTTTAATCCCTCTGTTGTAAAATTCTTGTGATTTTGATGCAAAAAATTCGGTCAATGCATTTTTGAGGCATTCTTCATTATTAAATTTTTTTCCAAGAAGAAAGTTTTGCAAAGAACGAAACAAATGGTAATCGGAAGGGGCAACATCAGGAGAATATGCAGGTTGAGGGAGAACTTCCCATTCCAACTGTCACAGTTTTTCAGCAGTGGTTCTTGCAGTATGCGGTCGTGCGTTATCATGGTGAAGAATTACGCCCTTCTGATTAATCAGCGCGGGTTCTTTTTCTCTTAAAGCTTGGGCTAACCTTTCCAATTGGGCACTATACACTGCACTTGTAATGGTTTGGTTAGATGGTAAAAGTTCATAATGAAAAATTCCTTTAAAATTCCACCAAACACACATCATCACTTTTTTCGCATGCAAGTCAGGTTTTGGCGTGGGCTGCAGAGCCTCATTTTTGTCCAACCATTGGGGCCGCCTTTTCAAATTAACATACAGCACCCATTGTTTATCTCCGGTAACAATTTGCTCTAAAAACGGCAAACGGTTTTGACGAGAGAGGAGCGAACTGCAAATTGTGACTCTTTGATTACGGTTGTTGTCGGTCAACTCATGAGGAACCCATTTTCCAAACTTTTGGACTTTGCCAAGTGCACGCAATTGATTGGAAATTGTTTTTTGTGAACAATTTAAAGTTGTCGCAAGCTCTTGTTGGGTAATTTGAGGATTTTGCACCAAAAGAGCTTGAAGAGCTTCTTGATCAAAATTGGACACACAGCCTCGACCACTCTTGTCATCTAACGAAAAATTTCCCTCGCGAAATTTCTCAAACCAACGCTGGCAATTTCTGGCGCTAACTGCATCTTGACCAAGAGCACTACAGATGTTTTTTGCAGCCTCACTTGCTTTTCTTCCTAATTGGAACTCGTAAAGCATGCAGTGCCGAATATGCTTTTCATCCGCCATCTTCTTAGCCCTAGTTTTGCAACAAAAACCAAACCAAACACAAACTTTTTCAAGCAAAACTTGTTAATTGCACTTCACACGTTCTGTAGATACCACGTGTTTGAAGGTTATGTCAATACAAGTCAACGCCAAGCAAGATTTTAAACGAATGTTTAAAAACGACATTAATTATTACTAGACCCGATAGCACATAAAGTACAAGAAGATGGGGGTGGGTGTGGCTGAGGTAAGGTCAATGGGGAAAAAGGAGACAGATGTAATCCCATATGTAATACTTTATTTTTTATTATTATTATTTTTAAATATATTTTATTGATTTTTTATAGAGAGGAAGGGAGAAGGATAGAGAGGTAGAAACATCAATGAGAAGAAACATCGACCAGCTGCCTCCTGCACACCCCCTACTGGGGATGTGCCCACAACCAATGTACATGTCCTTGATCGGAATTGAACCTGGGACCTTTCAGTCCGCAGACCAACACTCTATCCACTGAGCCAAACTAGTTTTGGCTTATATGTAATACTTTAAACAATAAAGAATTAAAAAGAAGAAGTATGAGAAGACAGTGCCCCATTGGGAGATTTATATCTGTATTTAAAAGCTAACAGTTTCTAAAAGAACTGAACTGCCTGGCCAGCATAGCTCAGTGGTTGAACATATAAAATCAATAAAAAATATATTAATAATAAAAAAAAGAACAAGAACACATGTTCTGGAATCAGACAGACTAGGGATCGCATCCTGGCTCTGCCCCTTTATAAGTATGGGAAGTTACTTTCCTCCATCATACCTCTATTTCTTCAAACTGTCAAATGAAGCTATATTATTTCCCTTACAGGGTTATAGTAAAGAATAAATGAAAGGAGATATGTATATATAGGGGCGTGTGTGTGTGTGTGTGTGTGTGTGTGTGCGCGCATGTGTATAGAGATAGAGAGAGAGAGAGAACGCACACGCGCGCACACTTAGTGGCTTAGTGCAGTGCCTATTATGAAAGTGCTCAGTAAATGATAGCTACTGTAATTATTAACCATTCTTCAATTTTGCTAGACCTAGACCTAATACTATAATCTTTATTATAAACTTAATAAGCTTCTTGAGAAAAGGTAGAAATTGGGTTAATGTCATCAATAAGGTTGGGGTAAGGATGAGATACTAATTCAGAAGAGGAAAGGGAAGGGAGAATGAAAGAGATAGAAACATCAATGATGAGAGAGAATCATTGATCAGCTGCCTCCTGCACGCCCCCTACTGGGAAGCAAGCCCAAAACCCATGAATGTGCCCTGATAGGGAACTGAACAGAGACCTCCTGCTTCATGAGCTGTTGTTCAACCACTGAGAGCCACACCCACTGGGATATTAAATAAACAAATCATATTTTTCACAATTCTACCCAAAAGATATGCTATAAAGAAGGCAAGGCCTGAATAAAATTAGCATTTACTCAATTTCTAAATTCATGGGACTAAAACTGTTTAGAATTGAAAATTATTTACAGGAAAAAAAATCTTACTTTAAAGACTACAAGGACAGAAGTCTTTATTAGCTCTTCTAGTTGGCCAAAAGAAAAAACAGAAATAATAGCAGTACTGAGAGCCTTTTATACATATCCTTATTCTCAAAATAGCCTTTATCTGCATTTTATAAATGAGAAGACTCAAGCTCAGTGAGATAAACTGTCTTGTGCAAGGTAACATGTCAATTAAGGGCCCAGGATGAGACCTATCTCCAGATCTGATATTCAGGCCCATGCTCTAGACAAGCTAGCCTATTCTCACAACTTCCACACTTTCCTTTGTGATTTATGTATGTCTTACAAATCAATAATTCTGAATTAATGCATGGATGAACGACCTTTGTGAATTTTTTTTTTAAAGAAGTCTTGCTACCCTGTAACTTTATCTTCTCTCATCCTCCTATATTTATGTCAAAGACCCTATGTTTAAATTAATGGCTCAATTTACTCTTAGATTAAATATAGTAGTTATAAATAAACTATAAAATTATGTATAGATTATAATTAAAAGACCATCCCCGATCCCATTTTAATATCAAAAAACATTCCAGTTATACAGACAAGCCAAAATCTAATTTGTACTTAATTCTTAAGAATGTCAGATGCAGAAGTATGAAGATTCTGCCCGGTTCCCTGTTACAACTCCAAGCCTAGAAGATGCCTGGCACATGGCAGACACTTGGTAAGCGTTTGATAACTGAGTGATTCTTGTTACCTACATTTATTATTGCCATAACTTGAAGTCAATCAAAGGACAAGATACCTTTTGCTTTAGGTTCACTTCTATATGGTAACTATTATTCCAGAAGTTCCACATGTTATTTCACCAATACCCTTGCCTTAAAGTAAGGAATCCAGCACCTCTTAAACTATTAACAGCTGGGGTAAATGGCTGTCTCTGAAGTAAACTGTAAGGAATCTTACCTGTAACTCAGACCTCAGCTGATGTATCTGACCCATCAGTTTCTGTATTTCTTCCCTTTGCATCTCCTTTTCATGCCGAAGGTCTTCTAGCTCCACGCTATGAGCAGTATTGCTGTCCAGGCCTTCAAAACCAGATCCTTCCTTTAAGCTGTTAATCAATTTTTCTTTAGACTATTACATTAAAAAAAAGAAAGAAATATTTTAAAGCAAAGCAGAGATTAGCTTGTATATTGAATATCATCTATCATACTAACTAAACCACTATGGAAATATTCCAATTATATTCTTCATAGAAGAAACTAATGGAGGAAATCCATTGGGATAAAAATAAAACAGCCTTGCTATATAATGTCCTTGGATTTTAATCCCCAGAACCATGTTATTGAAAAATTATTAAGATTTTTCTCATATTGCCCTAACCGGTTTGGCTCAGTGGATAGAACGTTGGCCTGCAGACTCAAGGGTCCCAGGTTCGATTCCAGTCAAGGGTATGTAAATTGGTTGCGGGCACATACCCAGTGGGGAGTGTGTGGGAGACAGCTGATCGGTATTTCTCTTATCAATATTTCTAACTCTCTATCCCTCTCCTCTCTGTAAAAAATCAATAAAATATATTTAAAAAAAAAAAAGATTTTTCTAATATTTTTTTCTCATTCTTTCTCACCCTTATTTTCCCCAAGACAATCCACTCAAATACTGATGGAGCATCTATGATGGGTTTGGCATTGTGCTAAGTGTCCTGTGTAATAAAAATAGTGTCTCTCACTATTATATATATATATATTAACCTCACAGGGTTAATGCCCAGAACCTTTGCTGAGCTTCAGGCCTTTATTTCTGATTGCCTTCTTGAAATTTTCACATCAATTTTTTTAGAATACTTCCATTTTATTATTATTATTTTTTAAATACTCACCGGAGGATATTTTTCCAATGATTTTTAGAGAGAGTGGGAGAGGAAAAGACAGAGAGAAATATCGATGTGAGAAACACAGATTGGCTGCCTCCTACACACCCTCTACTGAGGTTTGAGTCCACAACCTGGGCACGTGACCTGACCGGGAATCAAACCATGACCTCCTAGTTCATGGGTCGATGCTCAACCACTGAACAACACCAGCCAGGCTTTATCTCCTATCTCTTAAATCTCTAATACTTTATGCACCAGCAATAGAGAACTAACTGTGATTCATTAAATATGCCATGTTCCCAGGGCCCCTTGCTATGTCACAGGCTGCTCTATCTGAAATCTCTTCCCCACCACGAGTCTTACTACTCATCCTTCAAGTTCCTCTTCACTCCCGGGCAGATTTTAAGGGCTTAATGCATCAATAACTCCATCATATCAATCACTGCAGTGTCTTCCCACTAAACCAAACAGTCTTTTTAAGAAAGAGGAACATATTTTAAGCTTTGTACCTCAGCACCTACCATAGTGCCTAGGAAATAGTTAGGGGCTCAATTAGTAACTTTTAAGTGAGTTAATAAATTAGAATGATACCACAAAAATAATTAGAAAGAAGAGTTTGAAGGAGACAGACATGATATTTCATGAAGGTGGAATAAAAAAAGGTGCTTATAACCAATAGGAGGTGGGGGATAAAGGAAAAGATGGAGTCAAAATGAGACCGCACTTTCAAGCTCTATTGAAGATGGCGATGGAAGTGGAACGTCAGAAGATGTTCCACGGAAGATGGCGATACTTACCGAAATACGAGAATGAAGAAGAAGCAGGTTTGAAGGTTGGAATGTCCCATGGCAAGTATTTGAAACTGGGGTAGAAAAGTTAGGACTGGACACATGCTGAAGTCACACTGAGGCAGAAGCAGAGAGAGTATATGATAGTGCAAAGTAAGAAAGAATAACAAAAGGGGTGTAAGAACTTGAGAGAACACTTCCTCTTTGGAGGTTGGGGAGAAGGCCCAACAGAGACAGAAACATCAGTGAGAGAGAAAAGAGAGGTAAGGCAGTGCAGGTCACATCAGAAGGCAAGAGTGTCAAGAAGGTAGGAGGGTTAACATTATCAAATGCTCTACCAAAACCAAAGTGGGTGGAAATTAAGAAAAGGACAGGAAATACACATTTAGGTCATTAAAAACTTTTGAGAAGATAATTTCAGAAAAGTAGTGAGGACAGAAACTGCATGGGGGAGTTAAAGTTAATAATTCTAACATGAAGACAGTAATTATATAATAATTCTGTTAAGAAAGGAGAACAGGCAAAGGGATCAAAGTGGTCCAAAAAGCCAAAATGCTTTTTCTTTGTTCTTCCACTGAGAAAGCACGTGCTCTTGAGTAAGCTGAGCCAGAAAAGGCAGCAGCAGACAGAGCAAGAGGACAGACTTGTGGAGAAAGGGCTTAAATAAGATGGGAGGAAATGGAGTCAATACTCAGGCGGAAAAATTACCCTAGAAAATGAAAGAACATGTTTTCCCTCTGATGTGAGAGGGAAAGGAAAGAGAAGTTGAAAACTATACTTGTTGACTTCATTCTTTTTTAGTAAGGAAGGTAAGGTCACCTTGGATCTAAGGAAGGGGAACAAAGATGGATGAGGCAATTCTGAGAGCTGGAAGAAACCTAGACCAGTTATTTTAAAAAATTCAACAAAGGATTAACAAGGAAGAATAAAATGGCTGTTTTAACAACAAACATTAATATTCTCAAAGTGATTATTAAGGTGATAGGTGGAAGACCTGAACTAGGTAGTGGCAGCATGAATTTTAAATAAAAAAGTGGTAGAAATAAGAGACATTCCTTTCTTTTTATAGTATTTTTAAGTAGAGTACTTAGGAATATTGTCCATGTTTAGCCAATCCAGCTAAACACGAACAAGTCATCTCACAGACTTATAGTCTCAAAGTGTCTCCCAGTTAATGGGCATAATACTTAACATTCAAACATGTACATTTCATGTTTACCTGGAGTATTCGAGAAGCTTTTTGCTTGTAGTCAATTAATTCCTGCTTACAGGACTCCAAGTTGGACTTATTCATCTTGACTTGCTGCTGGAGCTCATCAACTTTCTTCTTCTCATCGGAATACTTTCTTTCTGCCAGAGTAACTGCTTCTGCCAAGTTCTGACGTTCCACTTCCATTTTATTCAGGCGTGCAGCAAACTCACTCTGAAAAATTTTTATATCATCCTTGTAACAGTCTGCTTTGAGATATATTTTACAACCATCTGTTCAGGTATCTGATGGGACTTAGTAGCTCAGCCTGATAACATAACAGGCAGGTAAAAAACACTCTTCAGCCAGGCCAGCATGGCTCAGTGGTTGAGCTTTGACCTGTGAACCAAGAGGTCATGGTTTGATTCCCAGCCAGGGTACATGCCGGGTTGCAAGCTCAATTGCCAGTGTGGGGTGCGCAGAAGGCAGCAGGTCAATGATTCTCTCTCATCACTGATGTTTCTATCTCTCCCTTTCCCTTCCTCTATGAAATCAATAAGAATATATATATTTTTAAACACACACACACACACACACACACACACACACACACACACAAAACACTCATTTGTTAAAAACTGTGCTCCTAAACACAGCAATGTATCAAAATAATTAGGGAGTTTGTTAGAAATACAGCCATCCAAGGTCTCCCCACGTTTATTGAATTGGAATTTCCAAGACTGGGCTTGGAAATCTGTTTTTTAAGAATTTCCCAGGTGAATCTGGTCATTTGGATACCAGATCTGATCTGATATTAGCTGATCAATGAAGAATGGGGTTTACAGAGAACTAGAAAGTCTATTAGAAAACAGATGAAAGCTCTATCCTCATGGTCGGCAAATTGTGGCTCAAGAGCCACATGCGGCCCTTTAGCCCCTTGAATGTGGTTCTTCCACAAAATATCACTGCCTGGGAGAGTCTATTTTGAAGAAGTGGTGTTAGAAGAAGTTTAAGTTTAAAAACTTTGGCCCTCAAAAGAAATTTCAATCATTGTACTGTTAATATTTGGCTCTGTTTGCCGACCACTGCCCTAGCTGATTTGGCTCAGTGGATAGAGGATCAACAGGTGGACTGAAAGGTCCTGGGTTCAATTCTGGTCAAAGGGCACATGCCTGGGTTACAGGCTTGATACCCAGTAGGGAGCATGCAGGAGAAAGCCGATCAATGATTCTCTCTCATCACTGATGTTTCTCTCTCTCTCTCCCCCACTTCCTCTCTGAAATCAATAAAAATATATTTTAAAAAATGAAAATAGAAGACCTAAGTAAACAGTTATATCTTTTCAAACAGCATAGCTAATGTTTTCCATTTTAAAATTTCTAATAAGCTAGTCAATGTAATATTTTAACTTAAGAAACTTAAAGCACACTCAAGAAAACATGTCTGTCGCTTACTAGCCTATGTGGTTCTGAGATTTATAATTTACTCTTTTTCTCAAAAGCTCCCATCATTGAAATAATGCAGGAGATGAGGCAGAAGTCAGAAAGTATTTATCGTTACATGATAATAAACTATAGCCCACAAACCTTTGATCCAATATTAGCTCCTCTTTTAAAGAAAAGGAGCAAGAGAACTACTACTGCTGTCTACTGAGCATGTGCAATGTGTCTAATTCAACTGGGAATGGAATTTTTACATTTATTCATTTTAACTAATTTAAATTTAAACATAAAAACTGTCACATTATATTAGTTAATTTAATTATTCAATTCAATTAACAACAGATTTATTCAGATATAATTCACATACCATAAGTTTCACCCTTTTAAGGTATATAATTCAGTTATTTTTAGTGTATTCACAGAGCTATGCAACCATTATCATTACCTAATTTCAGAACATTTTTACCCCCAAAATAAATCTTACAGTTAAAACATAGGTTTAGGCCTATATTCGCTGTATAAGACTACCCCCCACTTCCGAGGCAACACCAGTTCTTTTTTTAATAGACCGCCTCTTTAACTCAGCCAATCCAAGCAGGCTTTTTATGCATGCAAATTATACATGTTCTGTCCCCGAAGCTACACTGTGTTCTAGTAAAAAGCCTGCTCAGATTGGCCAGAGTCAGAGAGGCGATCTATTAAAAAAAGAACTGGTGTTGCCTCGGAAGTGGGGGGTAGTCTTATACAGCGAATATAGGCCTAAACCTATGTTTTAACTATAAAATTAGGGGGCTGTCTTATATGCTGGAAAATACGGTGTGTGTGTGTGTGTGTGTGTGTGTATCTATGAATCTGTAAGACCAAAACTCCAACACCTATGCCCTACCTCATTATAATGGGACCACTCTCTGGGAGTGGACATTGGGCATTAGAAGGTAGTAAGAGCTACTCAGGTAATTCTAATGTGTAGACAGGGTTGATAATCACTGAAGTAGATGCAAAAATTAATTTAAGAGTAAAACTAAATATTATGTACAATTTTGTCTTAAAATCATCAGATTAAACTGGAATCACTAAAGGCTTAAATACAAAGAATAAACCAGATGCTCCAAATCAGCTTTTAATCAAATAATGGTAAGGTTGGTTGCAAACCACATTAAAGGAAAGATGTCTACCTCTAGTGAATATTAACTATTTTAAGCCCTCTCTCCCTACCTCTCTCTCTCTCTCTCTCTCTCTCTGTCTCGCAAGCCAGCACCTTTCCCGTACCCCTCTTCTTCCCCACAGAGGTGTAAGGCGGGCGCATTACCTTTGCCTGCCTCTCTCATAAGCTCCAAGGGCCCTTCTTCCTGCCTTTGTAACTTGTGACAGTGTAAGCCCACGTGGCCCAGCTACTTCTGTAATTTTCTAAATAAACTTTTTCTTATAATTTGATAAACAAATAAATCTATTTTAATTGTATTCAATATATATAAAATTAAATTTAGCAAGGATCAAGCTAAATTTTCAAATACTCTGTTATGTCACAGAAACAAAATTTTCTGAAATACACTGCAGAACTTTATTAAAGAGTAAATGTGCAATGAAACAGTGTAAGGTCAAATAACAAAAGAACTGTTGTCTCCCATTCTAACCTGCATTTGCTTATAACTCTCCTGCTCTCTCTTCAGAGTGGCGTCCGCTTCATGCAGTCTCTCCTGAAGGGTTTGCAGAGCTTGATTCTGCAGGCTACTCCCTTCGCTGTGATCCTGCGTTATTCTAAACGAAAATGCATCACTTGAAATAACTCATTTGCACAAAGTACAAGTGACAAGGTAGAATAATTTTTAGAGTGTTGTCTTGTTAGCACAAAAGGAGTGGTTTGACTAAAACATTCTTAAAGAAATATTTTCCCTCTAATGGAATGTCATCTACATTTTTAGGTAATATAAATATAACTACACACCACTTATATTTGACACTCTTTAAATATTTTTAAATTCAGAATTTGCTAACAATGCATCTCAAGATTCAAATAATAAATCCACTTTTAACCCACATATTTCCAACATTAATAAAAGCTGAATTTTGGAAATACAAATTCCAAAAGTTAAATTTTCATTAGGTAGTATGCACTACAGTGCTTATCATTACTTGTATTGGAAAAAGAGAATCATCTAGCTCATTTTTTTTTCATTGTTAACAGCATTAGCTACCGTGACTTTTCACTCTGTAAAGCTTCTAAAGCTTCTGTGCGAGTCTTCAGTAGCTGGTCAGCTTCCTGGAGTCTCACTTTCAGCACAGCCAGCTGGGAATCCTTTGCAGCCACCGCTTCAGTCAGGTCATCTACTTGGGCTCGAAGTTCTCGAGTTATTCGATCACTCTTTGAATGGTCAACATTCCACTTTTCAACTCTTGCTCTTGCTTTGTTTAATTCTAAAAAAAAAAAGTTGTTTCTGTATTAGAGCAAACATTTTTTTCAGAACACACACAAATTCTCCTTTAAGTCTCTTTAGAACTTTACTTCTTGCTGACATTAGAAGCTTACAAATATCTTTTGCTCCCATTTTTCAAGGCCAATATTCACATCTGTACTAGTATTACCGGTAACAGGTTGGAAAGGTGCAGGATGCCAACTGCTCTTCTATAAATGTTTTTTTCCGGCAGATATATCATAAACCATTTGGAGACCAAAGAACCAGAGATAGCAGAAAGTTTTAGGCCAGTGAATTTGTAGAGTTCTGCTAGAGACAACAAAAAATGTAGACCCCAATAAAGGTAGATATTGTACACCCCAGCAAGACCAAACCAAACCACGGCAGCACAGAAAAGAATGTTTCTTTCCATTACTGTGGCAAAAAGATTCTTTTAACCTAGGAAACTGATTCAGAAAGAGCAATGCAGTACAGCTTTCCATACCCTCATATGCCACCTATGGTTGAGTTTTCCAGCAAAACAAACTTAGTTTTTAATATTGAAGAAAATGCTATAGGATCTCAAGAAATGCTCTATCTCTATGTCTACATTAGTGTGGGTAAAGAAAAGCTTTTTCTAAAGTCAGTCTAACAAGACTTAAACTACCTTCCTAATGCATTCTTCAGGGCCTTCATCCATGTCTTGGCAAAAACTTTTCTACCCTCCCACATTTCCTCTAATCACTCCCAGGAATCAAGGCAGATTTCTTTCCTTTTTTTTCTCCTCAGCCATGCTTACAATAACACTAATATATTTCTCCATCATTACCTCTATCATGGGATTACTTTTTATTTTTATTTTATTTTTTGTTATGGAATTACTTTTTAATTTGCCCATTTCTGAGCAATTGGAGGGTTTTGTACCCTAGGGCCACTGCACTGCATAATCCATATTCATTTTATGTCCCCTAAAGCAGGGCAAAACAGTGCCTCACTGGCTAGTGTCCACTACCTTTGGTTCATGAACAATTCCTAGAAGGTTCAAAACAGATCAGCCAAATGAATCAGATGATTACTAATGTTCTGTTCTCCTGAGTTCTTAAACTTCATAGCTCTTAAAAGAATAACCAACACTAGCTGGCTTGGCTCAGTGGACAGAGCATCAGCCCATGGACTAAAAGGTCTTGGATACAGTTTCAGTCAAGGGAACATACCTTGGTTGCAGACTCAATCCCTGGCCCTGGATCGGGATAGGTGTGGGAGGCAACCAATCAATGAGTCTCTCTCACATCAATATTTCTCTCTCTGTCTCTCCCTCTCCCTTTCACACTCTCTGAAAATCAATGGAGCCCTAGTTGGTTTGGCTCAATGAATAGAGAATCAGCCTGCTGAATGAAGAGTTCCAGGTTTGATTCTGATCAAGGGCATGTACCTTGGTTGCAGATTCCTGGACCTGGTTGGGGTATGTGCAGGAGGCAATCAATCAATGTCTCTCTCACATCAATGTTTCTCTCTCCCTCTCCCTTCCACTCTCTAAAAATCAATGGAAAAATATCCTTGGGTGAGAATTAACAACAACAACAACAAAAAAAGGCACAAACTTTGCCCCGCTGGTGTGGCTCAGTGATTGAGCATCAACCTATGAACCAAGTCACAGCTCGATTCCCATTCAGGACACATGGCCAGGTTGCAGGTTTAATCCCCAGTAGGGGGTGTGCAAGAGGCAGCCCATCAATGATTCTCTATCATCACTGATGTTTCTCTATCTCTTCCTTTCTCTCTGAAATCAATAAAAATATCCTATATAATGAATGGCTAATAGGCAAATTGTCCCTAAGGGTGGGAGTTCAAACAACCAGGAGTTGGACATTCACTGACCACCAGGGGTGGCCTGGAATATGGCGGGTGTCAGTGATATGGCACTGGCAGTGGAGGTGCTGCCAGGCCCAATGGGCCCTGACAAGAGTGGGACCGTGGCAGGATGGTGAAGCAGGTGAGTGGACAGAGCTAGGCCAAGGATAATGCAAAGGGAGACCCTGGCCAGCAGCTGATAGCTGCTAGGGACTTTACCCATGCACTGATTTCATGCACTGGGCCTCTAGTATTGAAAAAAAACAAAAACAAACAAACAAAAAAACATGACCAAACAAGCCCATGTTTTCTTTTTTGGGTTGGTGAGATGAAGATTGGTCCCATCTGCAAATCTGGACCCTGTATTTCTATGAAAACACTATTTTACAAGTCTCATCTAACATATTTCTTGTATGTGTCATGACTGGGAATTGAACCCACAACCTTGGGGTATCGGGATAAAGTTCTAATCAACTGAGTACATCTAACGTATTTCTAATAGCTTAGCTATAACCAATGTTTTAGTTTATTTTTGAAATTTTAACTTTCTAATCTTGGGCAATATAAGGCCCTACCTTCTTGAGTTTCCCTGGCTCTTTGATGTAATGAGGCCATTTCTTGATTTAAAGACTGAACTTCATTCCTCAGCAGTTGATTCTCCAGTTGAAGATTAGACAGTTCATGGGATTTGCCATCATCAGTAGATAATGATTGGTTGTGATTAATGCAGGAAGCATTTGATGATACAGAGTCCTTTGAAGAATCCTCTTGGATTTCATGGCCAGAATCTGAATTACTAGAGGCTTCTGTGAAAAGGGAATACATTTTTGTTACATTGAAATGCTTACTACATAGATATTAATAGTCTACTTTGGTAGAATGCCTTTTGGCTCATGTGGACTACTATAGCTAAAATACCATAAAAAGAAAACTTAAATTCTCAATAGACTTTCATCTGATGAAATTTCATTCTTATTGATGGAACCTATAGGCTTATAAGGATCCTGGATACACTGAATGGTAATAAGGAATAGATACAAGAATACAGTTCTGCCCCAGTTGGTGTGGCTCAGTGGTTCGGTGTCAAACCATGAACCAGGAGGTCATGGTTCCATTCCCAATCAGGGCATGTGCCAGGGTTTCAGGCTTGATCACCAGTAGGGGGCATGCAGAAGTCAACAAATCAATGATTATCTCTCATTATTGATGTTTTTATCCTTTTCACCCTTTCCCTTCTTCTCTGAAATCATTTTAAAAATACACTTAAAAAAAATAAATAATAATACAGCCCTAGCTGGCTTGCCTCAGTGGATGGAGCTGGTCAGCCTGCGGACTGAAAGGTCCCAGGTTTGATTCCGGTCAAGGGCACAAGCCTGGGTTTCAGGCTCAATCGCCAGAAGGGGGCGTGCAGGAGGCAGCCAATCAATGATTCTCTCATCATTGATGTTTCTCTCCTCCCCTCCTCTCTGAAATCAATAAAGAAATATATATATATAAAGAATACAGTTCTGGAAAGTATAATATCAGGGATAATTTAGGTGACTAGAATTGGTCTCACTTTTGTCTCCAAACTTTTTTGAAAAAAAGAAGTCTCAATATTAAAATATTGGAAAGGCACAAAAGAACAGCTGTGGGTTTCAAGGCAAGAAGAGTTAATAATAGGTCAGAGCAAACTGGAATCTAAATGCCTTATTCAAAGAAACCCTCAGATGAATCAGGAATTCAGATTCATCCTGTTTTTAATTTGCTACTAAATATGATGCAAATATATTTTTCCTTACTAAAAAAAAAAAGTAGATACTAAAATATGGACTATAGTTAATTATTAAAATGGACTCAAATAATGACTTTACAAAGGAAGCTAAATCAATAATCCACTGGGGAAAAATGATAAAAAATAAAAATAAAAAAAATTAAAAAAGCGTGGTCATTTTGAAAAAGTAGGTTTTCGCTATTCCCAAAATATGAAACCCAAATAGTCAAATATTTGAAAAGATGCTTAACCTCAAAGAGCAATGAGAGAAGTAAAAAAGTAATGACATTTTCACACCTGATTAGAAAAATATAAAAAGTCACACTGAAAATTATCAAATTTTGGTGAGAACACAGAGCAAAAGAAACTCTTAGTCACAGCTGGTGAATTATAAATTGGTACAACCTTTTAGGAAAACAGCTTAGTGTTTGTTACTAGTGTATTTGAACATTGTCACATCCTGCAATTCCACTTCTAAGGATCTGAGAGTGAACTTTTCAACCTGGGGTGATTTTGCCCCCCAAAGGACATTTGCTAATGTATGAAGACATATTTGCTTGTCACAACTTAGGGTGCTACTGTCATCTAATGTTCATAGGACAGTCAGTCCCCTACAACAAAGAATTATGCAGCCTAACTGTCAATAGTCACAAAATTGAGAGACTCTGCCTTAGAGAAACAAAACAATTATAGTAACTCCCATGTATTAACTGGTTCTCTCACTAACATCCCTGTCAATCAGGTTGATTCCTCCTTTACAATTAAAATGTAAGCTGTTTTCCTAAAAAGTAGAAAAATAATTCAAGTCAAATCTAGGCTTAAAAGACCTCTCTTAGCCGAAACTGGTTTGGCTCAATGGATAGAACGTCGGCTTGGGGACTGGGGGGTCCCGGGTTCGATTCCGGTCAAGGGCATGTACCTTGGTTGCGGGCATATCCCCAGTGGGGGGTGTGCAAGAGGCAGCTGATCGACTCTCTCTCATCGATGTTTCTAACTCTCTATCTCTCTCCCTTCCTCTCTGTACAAAATCAATAAAATATATTTAAAAAAAAAAAAGTCCTCTCTTAGTATCACATTGCTACGGTACTTGCAATTTTTACTGGCCTAGCAACCACCTAAAAGTCAAAAAAAATTTAGATGCCCTGACTCCATCCCTAGAAAATCTGAATCAGGAGGTCCGGGGAGACACCCAATAATTCATTTTTTATTAAGCACACAAGTGATTCTAATGCAAGAAGTCCAGGGACCACTTTTTAACAAAAAATGATTTATAGGAATCTATCTCACACTCCGGGTTCCCAGGACAACACTAACAAACGTAAAGGATCTCTGCGGGGGATGCTCTCTCCAATCCATTCTTAAAGACCAAGCTCCAATTACAGACCCTCTGAACCCTGACCTGAAAACTTAGGCAATTAGTTGCTTTCTCCTTTATATTTTCAGCACCGTCTGGCAATACCTCAATTACTGCATTTATGACACTATATGTAAATTATGTTAACACGTCTATCTCACCCACTAGATTCTGAACCACTTCATTCACTTACACAGTGTATTTGAAACTATTAGGTTTCGATTAGGTTCTCAATATTTGTGTAACCACTGAAAAGATAGCTGAGAAGAAATTTAGAAGTGTGCATTAATTAATCAACTGCTACTACATGCGCCTGTCTTAAAAGCCCTAAGTGGTCACCTTTATCACTTTTTTATCTTACAGATACAAGCCATATTTTATTCCCTGGCAGCCAAGACTGTGGGAGAAACTGTAACATTTAAGAACGTAACAGGCTTCCATTAATCACCAACTTTATAAGGAATCCCTGTAGGAACCTATCATGTTTATTGCCATTTAAAAATAGTTAGTAGGTACTTGAATTAGCCACATTGACACGTTAACCTCCTTCTGCAGATGAGCAGATGTCCAGGTAGAGGTAATTTCACAGCAATTTAAATGAACTTGGATCACGGTTCAGTCTGTTTTACTTCTGGGTGGAATACAGAAAAAACTGATAATGAAGAATATATGTAGGGGGGAAAAATATATGTGAAGTACAGCCTCCTGTCATTTTTATAATCCCAATGACAAAAAGAAATGAACTGAGAAAGTTCCAAATCCAAAATTACGTTTTCTTTCGTATTTCAGAAAAAAATTTTTTTTTTCTGTACCTTAAAATATGTCAAGAGGATCATTTTGGATGTAATTTCTCAGATGCTGGGGTAATTAGCCTACAGATAAAATTCAAAGGTCCCTACTATAACTGCATATTGACTGACAGAGAGCCTGCCCTTCCACCAGTGGGAACAGGTGACAACACGAGGACGAGAAACACTACCAGAACGTATTGGGCTGGGATGACACATCCAATGTGCTTAACTCTACAAGGAATGAGGACTGATTAGCTACCATGGCTTTGGCTCCCAGCATTTTCTTCAGTGGCTTTGACGGTGGTTACGCTGGTGTTCCCGGCGCTGGCGCTTGTAGTCTGAGAACTCTGGAGGGCAGGGGGCCTGCCCCTTTCTTTTTTTATTTCCACCCTCCCAGCAGGTTCCTTCTGTGAACTATTAAGAAAATCAAACAGCAGCTCATCATCAGGTTCTGACTTTTTTCTCCGAACAAACTGGGACGAAGGCCTGGGAACAGATGAGTTTTCAACAGAATGGGAGGCCTCCACTGATGTCCTCAGTGCTGCTTTCACATTTGTGGTGCCAGCTAGGATGGTGGCTCTTTGATTCCTAATGTTATCAGCGGCTGAGGAGATATAATTAGCTTTAGATCCAGGCTGGTAAGTCAAGTCTGCATTTTGCTGGTGAAGTTCAGGATAGTCGGTATTTTTGCTGTATATGCTGCTGCTGGTGTTCTCTTTTCGACTGAGAGCTGTTGCAGCCCCTTGATCGACTCGGTTTAAAAGATCTTCTGCTTTTCCAGCAAGGTCAGCAAGCCAGGACATGATGGCAGCAGAACAGTCCTATGGGTGAACCTGTAAAAAGGACAAGAAGTGATCAGTGTGGTGTAACAGCAGAGTCTGGAGTCAGGGGACACGGCCCCTGAGTCTCAGGCCATTAACACCCCAAAAGGACTGGTCCTGCCACTGGGCCCCTGCCTCACCTGGGTTGAATGCCTAGCTCTGCTTCTTACTAGCTATGTAATGTTGAGTAAACTACTTTATTGAAACTGAGACACTTTATCTAGAAAATGAGTAAAATAAATGTACCTACATTATATTTTTAAAATGAAATGATACATAAAAACACTCTGAGGGAAGTTTGGTACACAATAGGCACTCAGTTTAGTAGTTCCTAGTGCCATAATTACAACTACCACTATTGTTATTACTCCTATTTCAACAAAAGGATAAATGTTAATGGAGCAAAAGCACCCAAAGAGCATCTAATACAGCAAAATTTCAGTGCAACCCAATAAAAAGAAACTTCTGATTAATACAAAATCTATTTTTTAAATGCAGCACTAAAATGGATAATTTAAGGTGTGCACATAATCTGTCTAAAGCACACTTTCAATAAGTTAAATACTCACTACCTACCATGTGCACATTAAGCGAAATTAAGAATTTAAAAAATAGGACTGCACAGACATTCATTTGATTATATGTTTGAGTACTTACAGCTTGACACAATGAATCTGAGTAATGACAAGCAATTAATCCGTGGAATATAGAAGAAAGAGTCCTGTATTAAAAAGTTAACAAACAGCCCTAGCCAGTTTTGCTCAGTGGATAGTGTTGGCCTGTGAACTGAAGGGTCCCAGGTTCGATTCCGGTCAAGGGCACATGCTGAAGTTGGGGCTTAACCCCCAGTAGGGGGAGCGCAGGAGGCAGCTGATCCATGATTCTTATCATTGATATTTCTCTTTCCCTCTCCCTTCCTCTCTGAAATATATATATAAAAGATCAAGAAAGATAACATTTCTTGAATGTGCACATTGTTCCTTTTGCCTGGAACACTTTCATTTTCTCTCTGCTTCTTACTCTCCCCTTGAATTGTCATCTGCTCCCCAAACCTTTTTCTTTCCATGTAAATCAGGTCTTATCATTCTGTGTTCACACATACTCTTTTCTGTCATAGGCCCTTCTTTGTTTTATAATTATGTTTCCTTTTCTTTCTCTCCCTCTCAGGGAAGGGGAGGAGGTGGGTAAAGGCCCTATTTTGCTCACCAATTAATTCCCAGCATTTAGCACACAGTAAGCACCCATAAATACTGCCGAATGGAATTTTTATGTCAGATGCTGTGCAAGCATTCAGCACATGACTTTCACAACCACGTTATGCGGTAGTAGCAACACATGTATCTTTCTCCCCCCCCCCCCAAGTGGTTTAGAAAGATCTCAGTTGACATGGCAGCTCAGATACTCAAGCCTACATCAGCCAGACCCATTTTTTAATCCCTGCCTTTCCCATCTAGTCGCTCAGTATCCGAATAACCTCAAGAAACCCTCCAAAGCAGTTCCTTATGAAAGAAATGGGACTACGAACTCCCTGGGTAGTTCAGAGAGTGTAGGTGAAATCAAGTGAAAAAATGGAGCTGAAATGCTTTGTAACATCTAAAACCCCTACAGACGTAAAGGATCCCTTATTCTCACGTAAACACTGGTGGCATCGCAGGCAAAGTCTCTCTGCTAATAAAGCACACACACTTATTAATTCCTTACAAGGCACCTCTGATTTTAAAGTTAACAGGGCTTTAAAGCGTGGCGTCACGGTAATGACCCAATTAAACAAATACCGAGAAGGGCCCTGGGCACTGACCGGCCCGGTTGACAAACATCCCGAACGGACCTGAGAGGTCCAAACCCCTCAAAGAATCCCATGGCCGATGCCCCGGGGCCCGGCCGCGCGGGGGTGAGGAGAGGCCACGGGGACGGGGACGGGGATGGGGCTGCGGCGGCAGGGCCGGCCGGAAGGACAGGCGTCCGCACAGAGGAAGGGAAGCTGGCGTCGGAGGGTCGGTCCCAGGGAGTGACCGTCAGCGGATCCCAGGGAGGCGAGTGCAGATCCCCACTCCGCTCCCACCACCTACCTGGTCGAGCCCCCGGAAGGCGAAGAGCGATCCTGCCAGACTGGGGGCGGGGAAGGGAGGAGAGGGGAGGCCCCTAAACAAAGTCGGCTGAGACCCCTTTCCTCACTCAGGCCACCGTCACCCTGCGGGGACCAAAGACTCCGCTAAGGGGACGCCGCCCCCGCGTCTCAGGCCATGAACGCCCCAAGCGGACCGGTCCTGCCCACCGGGGCCCCGCCACCTCCTCACCTGAGGAATGCGGAGCGGCTGCACCTGAGGACTCCTGGGCCGCCCCCGCAGCAGCCCGCCGGGAGAGCGCCCAGGCTGAGCAAGCCGTGTCCGCACCTGCCACGGCCCCGCCACGGCCCGGCTGCTCTTCCGGGAGACGTGGAAGGGCAGCGAGGACCCCGAAACAGAGTGGCTTCCGAGCTGCCTGAGCGGCCGAGAGCGGAGAGCAGCCACCTGGAGGCGATTCAGGCGGCCGCGCCGGCGGCTGCGGGGACCTCGCGCCTGGCCACGCCCTCTTCCGCCTGGGGCAGGGCCGGGCCTCGTGCGTGTGACGTCACTCTATTCCCGCTGACGACAGCCAGCACGCGGCGGACACAACATTGGAGACCACGCCCATCCTGCCGGCGGGGCGGAGTCCCTCTGGCGCTCAGGTGGGTGGTGAGAGCCGTGTCCAGCCCGGAAGGAAGGTGAGGCCTGAGATGGGTGGGGCGTGAGGCTCTAGCGGACCAGGCGACGTTCCCCTTTCTCTTTTCCTGGCTCTGCCCCGCAGGTTATGGGTGAGGATGCTGAGGCCCAGGGCAGGAGGTGAGGATGCATATTAGTAAAACAAGATCCCTGACTTCACGGAGCTTCCTTTGCAGTGATGGAGATAGATATTAAGTAAATCAATGAGTGAACCAGACAATTTCAGAACATTATCAGGGTTGTGACTACAAGAAAACAGAGAGAAGTGACTGGAGGTGGGGGAGGCACTTTTAATTGTGTGGCCAGAGAAGGACTCTGAGGAAGTGACAATTGAGCGGAGACCCAAAAGCAGTTTTGTAGTTATATTATTACAGTTCATTGAATGTTTGAAGGCAGTCTAAAATTCACGTTCAGTAATTCACCAGATACTCAGCACATACTGTGTCAGAGGATTGGGCTAATTTAGCCCTAATGGCAAGTCTACAACAGAGTCCCAAGGATCCTCATTTTCATGTTGAGGAAACTAAAGATCAGCGAGAGTAACTTGTCTAAGATCACCTGCTCTAATAAGGAGTCCATATGACTCCAAAACCTGTGCCATTAGACTTATTGTCTGAAGATTACATATCAGGAGTAATCACAAGTTTTCTTCCTCACAAGTCAGGATTAGCCAAGTCTAGTGGACAGAAAACATTTCAACAGCATGGGAGGTAATAACAACAATAGCATTTAACAGTTTTTGTGTCCTTATTAAGTGCAGAATATTTTATTAAGCATTTGAATGTGCTTCATCTCATTTAATTCTCACAATATCTGCCAGGAAGGTGCTCTTTCTGTTAAGGATTATATATCACCACCTGTCACCAGATAACTGCAATGTGTCCTTTCCAGCCTCACTGATGTCAACATGGATCACGTGACTTCCTTTGACCAATAGAATGTGAATAGAAGTGACTTTCAACACATCTGAGCAGAAGTGTTAAGAGTCATTATGTGTTTTCACTAGCTCTCTTGATCTTTTTCTACTCTCATGAGAATTCCCTGTCCCAGATGGGGCTGCTCCCTCCCTCCTTTCCTCTGGATCCTGGAAGGATAAAGAGATGTGAATCAGCCCACATTTAACATGTCACATGAGTGAAAAATAAACCTTGGTTTTTCTTTCTTTTAAAAAATATTTTAAGAAATATTTTTTGTTGATATCAGAGAGGAAGGGAGGAGAGAGAGAGACAGAAACATTAATGATGAGAGAGAATCACTGATAGGCTGCTTCCTGCATGCTCCATATTGGGGATAGAGCCCGAAACTCAGGCATGTGCCTTGACCAGGCTTTGAACCAGGACCTCTTGGTTCATAGGTTGACGCTCAACCATTGAGCCACACCAGTGGCAAAACTTTGCTTTTGGATACTACTGGGATTTGAGATTACTTCTTATATAGCTTTACCTAAATAAATCTGATTAATATGTACCCCCATTTTAACAGATGAAGGCAGTGAGCTTCAGAGAGCTTTAGTTACTTGCCCAGAGTCAAGTTACATGGAGTAAGTTGTACATCTGGGATTCCAACCTAGGTCAGTGTGACTCCAGAAGCAATGTTCTTAACCACTGAAGAGGTGAGAGAGAAGTTGGAGTAATGAATAAGAATGTCCAGTGAATTGAGATGGCATGATAAAGACGCAGAAATAAGATGATCTGGGTTCTTATTTGGCTATCAACTACTTTCAAGTAAGTTAATCTCTCTGACCCTCAATTTTATCGGGGGGGGGGGGGGGAACGTGTGGAGGGGGAAGAACTGGACTGGCCAGCATAAAAATAATAAAATAAAATGTATAAACCCCTGGCTGAATTTGACATCCACATGGGAAAAAGTAAATCTCAACCCTTCGCTATAGGACTGGATGCTTGTATTCCCCCAAAATTCATGTTCAGCTTGATTGGCACGGCTGCCCAGAGATGGCCGGCAGACCCGGGAGATGGCCTGGGTGCAGCTCCCAAAGAGAAGGGTTTCTTGAAGATTGTGGAAGGAAGGAAATTGCAGAGTGTTAATCCCTCTGAAGCCCCCAAGGAACTCGTCATTCCTCTGATTCAAGATGGCCCTGGGCCGAAACTGGTTTGGCTCAGTGGTAGAGCGTTGGTCTGCAGACTGAAAGGTCCCAGGTTTGATTCTGGTCAGGGGCATGTACGTTGGTTGCGGGCACATCCCGGTAGGGAGTGTGCAGGAGGCAGCTGGTCGATGTTTCTCTCTCGTCGACGTTTCTAGCTCTCTCTCTCCCTTCCTCTCTGTAAAAAATCAATAAGATATATTAAAAAAAAAATGGCCCTGGAAGGCTGCCACCAGCCCAGGCTCCCGGCCCATCTGTTGAGACCGTGGTGGATGGGGCGCTGCCTCAGGCTGTGAAGATGCTCACTGAGGAATCCAAGAAGTCTCTGGATGAGAAAGAGCATGAGGGTGTTGACCCCATACTCCCATCTCCATGATCCAGAACAGACGCATACCCAGTGAGAAAGGGGCAGACAGGAAACCCCGGGCCAAGGCAGTACCCAACGAGGCAGATTATGAGGCAGTCCCTGTGGAGGCCGGTGGGCTGGCCATGTTGCAGGGCATGGGCTGGAAACCTGGCCAGGGCATCGGCTGCACCTTCAGTGAAGTAGTGAGGCTCCATGTCAACACACCGAGGCCTAAAGGGTTAGGACTGATCACCAACCAGATAGAGCTCCAGGCCCTGGCCCCTACCAGCCCCCTCCGCCTGCTGAGGCCAGATGCGGAACACGAGGAAGATAAGGAAGACCAGCCTCCAGGACTTGCCCCCGGAGGAGCTGTGGTGGATCTTTCTGGCCCTCCCCGAGGCCTCTATGGTAAGGTGGAAGGCCCCGATCCTGACAGTGTTCGGGCCACTGTTCACTTGGCCGGGGGGGAACTGCGTGGTCACTGAATGAGGTCACTTTCTAAGGACTGTTTCCCAGCAGGAATTTGATAAGAGCTCCTGGGATCTCAGCCAGGTGAGCAAAACTTCTCCAGGGAGAACAGCCTTGTCCTGGAAAGACATGCTGGAGACCCTTGTCCGCAAGGTCCAGGGCAGCCGAGTGATGGCGGTGCTGGGGCCACAGGCTGGAAGGGTGGGCCGCCTGCTGCACTGGGACGGAGAGCAGAGCCAGGCCGTGTTCACCTGCGGGGAGAGAACCAGCTGGTGGAGCCTCACTGTGATGCTGTCTGCTAGTACGTGGGTCCCCGGGACCCAGACGAAGACTGACCCATGGATTCACTCCTTTCCCCAGGCGGTCACCAGCTCTGAGCTGTGAAAGCCTGTCTGTGTGAAGGGGGGGGTCATTGTTCTGTCCTGCATTTGCATGTGCAGCCCTGGACGGTACAAAATGCATAGACCGGAAGGAATGCCAGAAGCAAACCTAGTATTTACCAGCATTGGTATAAAATGAAAATCATTTTAAAAATGATAAAGGTTGATGCTATCAAGAGATGTTAGGTGTTTGAAGAAAGGATTCACTACCAGTGGAAGTGTACCTTCAAACACTATGGCTACTAACTAGCAAATGGGTATGTCTTAAGACTCAGTGTTTCTTTTTTTTTTTCTTTTTTTTTTTAATATATTTTTTTATTGATTTTTCACAGAGAGGAAGAGAGAGGGATAGAGAGTCAGAAACATTGATGAGAGAGAATCATCAATCAGTTGCCTCTTGCACACCCCCTACTGGGGATGTGCCCGAAACCAAGGTACATGCCCTTGACCGGAATCGAACCTGGGACCCTTCAGTCTGCAGGCCGACGCTCTATCCACTGAGCCAAACCGGTTTCGGCAAGACTCAGTGTTTCTACTTACAGAAAGTAGCCCAGAGAAACACATGTTTATATACAAGAGGAGGAGTATTAGGATGTTTATTGGAACATCATTTAAAATGATTTTTAAAAAATCAAAATAGACTAAATGTCCGATAGTAGGGGAGTGTTTATAAAGTGGATATGTTTTCTAAAAGTATAAAATATATTGATTGGAAAGATATGCTAGCTTCCTATATTGGTTACCTTGTGGTGTGGGGAGAATGGAACAGCACAAAGGGAAAATTTCATCTTTAATGTTTTGTTTGTTTTAAGGGGAAAGAGAATTAACAGATGAACAGAATATTAGCTGTTGATGGCCTTTGATAGGTAATAAGATGTCTTGTGTTATATTTTGTATATGTCTGAGGTTCAGTATCTACACTTCAATTTCTTGCAACATAAATCAGAACAAATTTTAACTTAATTAATATGTAGCTATAAAAGTCACTTGGGGAAAAGATTATAAACTGCAATGATACCAGGTTTCCAAAATGGAAATTCAAGTGTTAAATAAGCAGGGAAAATAAAAATTTGGAAAAAACGATTAACCATTGGCCAATCTTACTTTGCCAGATTTCTAATTTTTTTTTTTTTACCATTAATAGATGTAAAAATGAATTTTGCCCTATTTGGGTGGTTCAGTTGGTCAGAGTGTCTTCCCATACATCAAAAGATTGCAGGTTCAGTTTCTGGGCAGGGCACATGTTTAGGTTGTGGGTTCAGTCCCTTGTGGGCTGGTATGGGAGGCAACGGATCAGTGTTTTCACTCTCATATCTATGTTTCTCTCTCTCCCTCTCCCTTTCTCTCTCTCTGAAGATTAAAAAAACGAAATTTTTTTTTTTTTTACTATTTTGATGTACAATTAGTTGTTTATACCTTTGTAACGTTAAAATATAATTTATTTTTTTAAAAAAAGAGTAAAGTCCATCACTCCACACAAATATAAGGATGAGCAAGTGAGTTAAAGATTATATTTAACTCATTCATGAGGAAACTTGTAGGTCAGAAAATAGTGAAATGAGTGTGCAAATGAAGGCAAAACTGGCTTATTTCTACAGTGAAAGAAGTCAGTCAATCCTCCACTTGATAGAATTAATTTGAATGTCTTTGGGCAAGAATCATTTGCATTGTGGTTACCCAAAGTTTACAGAGATGTAAGAAAAATTCCAGTAGAATTTTTAGATATTAGATACCCTAGAATAGGGGTGTCGAACTCAATCAGAGAAGGGGCCAAAATCTAAAATCCAGCCTAAATCGTGGGTGGAATGGTTTACTGAACAGTCATAAACTGTCATTGTGATGGAAACGCAGCGGAGTGCAGTGATGACAGCGTGGTGCGGGCCACATTGCAAGGCCTGGCGGGACGGATTTGGCCCGAGGGCCTTGTGTTTGACACATGTGCCCTAGAAGGACATGCTCTGATATAGAATCTAATTTTCCATTGAATCAAATACTTTTTTGAGAGTTCAGATGAGAAATAATATCAAATTCCGAAGGAAGAAAATGACTTCCTTTTGAACATAAATATAGGGTGTTCTCACCCCCCCCACACACCGTCCCTCCTCCCCTCCCCCCCCTGGGGCCACAAACATACACTCAGGTGTGACTCTGGTGGAAGGGAATGACTCCCAATGGAACAGAATGCAGTGTTCCAAAAAAAAAAATGTGCACCCACTTTAACAGCTGACAACTCACTGAATTTCCACCTCTTTTCAAGTCTCACTGATTTGAAGAAATGGCTGAAGAAGGTCTAGGCTTTGAGCGAAGAAAATTTCCCCACTCGGCTTTCTATGGGGATCCATAAAAGATAAAGGTACGGTACACGACCAACAACGACTGAGGAGTCCAGGGCAGCTGTGGAGAGAGAGATGTACACCCCAAACCGAAGGGACGATTCTTGTTGTTTGCGCCTCCATCGTTCACCTCAGTCCTGGCGCTGCTGCTGAGGAAGCAATGGAACCGCAAACACCGAGATCTGCTGCTTCTGTTTGGGCGCCTCCTCTGTCCACAACTGCTGCCACGCCTGGAGTGTGGCCCAGACACCTCATCCTTTATGTGTCCCCAAAAGATAGTCCAGAGGATACATTTCCTCTGCTCAAAGCTTACCTGGCTTCACCCATTACGTCAAATCCGCTAACCCTGAAATGGAGTGAAAAATGAGTTATCAGCGTTAAAGTGTGCTTACAGTTGGGGGGACACCCTGTAGTGTATACATTTTGGGGACACCTCAAAGCACATATATTTCGAGGAAAAAAACAAGATGGTGGCGTAGGTGAGCAACTAATCTGCCGCATCGCACAACAATTTCAAAACTACAACTAAAAGACAAAATGTCTATCACCCAGAACCACGGGAAAGTTGGCTGAAAGAGAAAGGAGCACAAGCACTGAAAAGCTAAAAAGACTGGGCGTGGGGCTTTTTTTCAACCCGAAGGGAAACAAGCTCCCGATCACTTTGAAATCCAGTTTCTGGGGTCACTCGGGGGACCCAGACACCTAAGGGGAGGAGCTGGTCTGTCGGCCATCGGGTCTGAAAGTGAGGGTGACTTTTTTGCAGAGGTGTGCGCAGCAATCATTGTTTACTGCGCTGGAGCGCGTGGACTTGGAAACACTGAAAGGCAGAGATGAATGATGGCAGTCATCGCTGTTTGCCACACCCCAGCCTAGTGATGTCCTGAGACCCCACCCCACCCTTAGGCCCCTCCCCACCCTGAGGCCGCACCCTGCACATTCTACAACCCCACCCCGGCTCCACACAGCTGCTTTTGCATAAGCAGAGAAAATGCTGAGAAAAGGAAGGAGATCTCAAACAAAAGAAATGGAGAACAAAAGACTGGATATAGAGTTCAAAACCACGGTTATAAGGTTTTTCAAGAATTTCCTAGAAAAGGCTGATAAATTTAACGAGACCCTTGAGAAAATGAAAAAGAAATTAAACCAACTAGAAGTTAAATATACACTGACTGAAATAAAAAATATTATACAGAGACCCAACAGCAGACTAGAAGAACACAAGAATCAAGTCAAATATTTGGTTTTGTACAGAGAGGAAGGGAGAGAGAGAGAGAGAGTTAGAAACATTGATGAGAGAGAATCATTGATCAGCTGCCTCTTGCTCAGCCCCTACTGAGGATATGCCCACAACCAAGGTACATGCCCTTGACCGGAATTGAACCCGGGAACTTTCAGTCCCCAAGCCGACGCTCTATCCATTGAGCCAAACCGGTTTCGGCAAGTCAAAGATTTGGAATACAAAGAGACAAAGGACACTCTTCCGGAGAAGCAAGAAGAGAAGAGAATGCAGCAAGTTGAAGATAGTGTAAGAAGCCTCTGGGACAATTTCAAGTGTACCAACATCAGAATTATGGGCGTGCCAGAAGAGAGAGAGAGAGAGAGAGAGAGAGAGAGAGAGAGAGAGAGAGAGAGAGCGCGCGTGCGCGCGCGACACTGAAAACCTATTTGAAGAAATAATGACCGAAAACTTCCCCCACCTGGTAAAAGAAATAGACTTACAAGTCCAGGAAGTGTACAGAACCCCAAACAAAAGGAATCCAAAGAGGACCACACCAAGACACATCATAATTAAAATGCCCAGAGCAAAAGACAAAGAGAGAATCTTACAAGCAGCAAGAGAAAAACAATTAGTTACCTACAAGTGAGCACCCATATGATTATCAGCTGATTTCTCAACAGAAACTATGAAGGCCAGATGGGAGTGGCAAGAAATATTCAAAGTGAAGAATAGCAAGAACCTACAACAGAGATTACTCTACCCAGCAAAGTTATTCAGAATTGAAGGGCAGATAAAAAGCTTCACAGATCAGAAAAAGCTAAAGGAGTACATCATCACCAACCCAGTATTATATGAAATGCTAAAAGGTTCTTTAAAAAGAGGAAAAAGAAGAAAAAAGTAAAGATAAAAATTAGGAACAACAAATACATATCTATCAACAAGTGAATCTAAAAGTCAAGTGAATTAAAAATTTGAGGAACAGAATAATCTGGTGAATATAATAGAATCAGGGGCATAGAATGGGAGGGGATTGATAATTCTCAGGGGGACAGGGGTGTCTGTGTTGGGGGTATGGAAAGAGACTGGACAAAAATCATATATCTATGGATGAGGACAGCGAGGGAGGGGGGGTAAAGGGCAGAGGGTGGAGTGGGGACCAGGTGGAGGGGAGCTTATGTGGGGGGAAAAAAAGAGAAACAATTGTAACTATCGGAACAATAAACATTTATTAAAAAAATAGAATTTTTAAAAAGCACATATATTTCATGAGGGGGTACACCTGAATGTAATATATTAAATGTGGTTTCTACCCCGGGAAGTCCCTCAGAAACAATAAATCAGAGTCTCATCTCCATGGGGACACTGGGGCGCTGCAGCCATTTCCAAATCAGGCTGCCCCTGCCTCGCACACGCTCCCCTCTGCACACTCTGGACACTTGCTGGGAGGGGCGGGCAGGGCTTCTCTCTGCCCCGTCACCCAGGCCGGGCAGACCCAGTGTTTATAGAAAAGTGAGCAGGGGAGGCAGGTCCCCGTGTGGCCCCAGGAGCCAGCTGCACAGAGGCAAAGCCTGAGGCCACCTGCCTG